GGAGGAGTTTGGTTTTGGATATGCCTAATAGACACCCAAGGGAGATGTTCAAAAGACAGCTGTAAGAGCCTGGAGATGGAAAAGTGGGGGTTCTCAGCATATTGGTGTGACAGGTGGCAATCACTCAGGGGGCGAGTGTCGGCAGAGAGGAGGGGACAGCCCAGCCCTGAGCCCCCGGGGCCAGGCCGGCTGTAGCCACTTGAATGCACTCGCCAGAGCTCGAGCCCATTGCTAGCGCATCCATTCCAATCCCGCATTCCGGACCTGGGGGAATAAAAGTGCGGGCTGGGTTTGTTCGGGCACCCACTGGACCCATGGTGAGACAGACCTGAGCTAAACTCCATTGATCACCTGATCGCTACAAGCCTCTGCTCTGACTGGTGGGCTGCAGGGTCCCTTTGAGTCTCCCAGAATTAGTGTCAGTTCAGAGCCAGTGTCCATTAAAACCAGAAAAGTCTGATCATTTCCTTTTCCCCAGTGTAGAGTCACCCTGGTAAAAGGCTGTAAGTCCCTTTGGGGACGGCTGGGAGAAAGGAGAACAGCACAAGTTTTTAGCACTGTAGCAGGATCCTTCCCCAAAGGGACCTGGTTGTCCATTGTTTTAAGGAAGTTAATGAGCCTGTCATCAAACACAGCCCTTATTTTAAATTAAACTACATATACTTACCGTTAAATAAATTAAATAAAATTCAACGATAATGAATACTCAAAGTGCATCGCTTCCTAATTATTTGACTACGTTCTACCAGTATCTGCGATCATTCCCCTCCATGTGGTAGGAGAGTTATCCATGGAGGGGCTACGTGCACCTCTTTGCAAACCTGAGTTCAATGACTTTGCAACGTTAACTTGACATTGTCCATACTGGGAGTATTTACACCGTGGAAACTAGCCAAGGCGAGTCAGGACTCCATTGATTGTTTTCTCAATGAAGAAAAATTAATGATGCAGATGTCACTGGAAGGTGTATGGTGTCTATAGCTGTCCCCTTGAGATTAGCACGAATGTGTGAGGAGGTGCTCTTCAGTGGCCTCTGACTCAGCAAAGAAGTCTCTCGTGGCCTTGATGGAGTAAAGTCTGACATCGTCATGGTTTCACTTTCCTCTTACTCTCGAATAGAAAAGAAAATATCAGTCAACATCCATGTCACATAAATGTTCGGCAGTAAACCTACTGGGGGAAGAATTTGCAGATCCAGATGCAACTCTGTTTCTGGAATCATGACTGAATTGCAACCATAGGTTGTTGGCTCCATTGATAAGAGAGGCATTTTGTAAGAGTCAGTGAGCTACGGAGCACTGACAACACATTTTACAACAAAGAGTAATGTCTGCTGTACTGTTGTTTGTATCTTGTGTGTTACATGTCATCTATATCAGTAACATTTATAGTAAACTTATATCTGTGCATACTTTGCTCCCTCCCCTCACCCCAGCTGCTGGTGTTAAATGTGTGCCTGTGCACCACAGCCTGGGGCACCTGGAGTTAGAACAAGATGCAGGAAGGAAGCAGCAGAGGAGACAGCCAGGGAGGTAAGAGAGCAGAAGAGTCTTGTGTCCCAGAGGCTGAGTGGAAAGTGTCTCCAGGAGGAGAGTTGGTCACCTGGGTCAGATGCCGCTGACAGATCACCTGGAGGAAGAAGAGAAAGGACATTTGGATTTGGCAGCAGAGTGGTTTGGATGGCACTGTGCAGAGGAGAGCTTGATTAGAGGCAGGTCACAGAGAGGACAGGAGGAAAGAGCTGGGCAGCAAATAGCCTTCAGTCTTGAGGAGCTTTCCTAAGATGGGAGCAGAAGAAATGAGGCGTGAATTGTTACGATGGATGATATTTATAGTATATCTGTATGGTCGTGAGTGAGGGTGAGAAGGGGCAAGGCTGGGGCGATGCCCTCCAGTAGGGAACGTGCACTCAGGGAGGGCTGGGGCAGCCCATCCATTGTCCAGGAGGGCAGGCGTGCTGGGCTCAGAGGCAGTGGACTGACAGGTGCGGCGCTGGGAAGAGGGAGGTGACCAGCTCTGAGTGATGGAGGGAGGAGTCAAAGAGGAGAGGCCTGGAACGGTTTTCTGGGACCACAAAGGAGAAGAGAACCCCCCAAATTGTTGTAAGCGATCAGCTGCATGGGTGCAGATGTAGAATTAGGGTGAGGTGGATTTGACGGTGGCTGGAGCTTTGCCAGGCAGTATGATGGAGGGAAAGACATGCAGGGGTGTTGAGAGTGGAGGAGGGAGTGACCTTGATGTGGGATGATGGAATCTAAGCCTGGGGAGGGGAAGAGAGAACAGGAGGGGTGAGGGCTGGCAAGAAGGGGCAGAGTGGGCTCAGCCTTCCATGGATGCAGGTCCCTGTGTACTTGAAGGCCTGCTGCAGTTGGCGTGGCAGAAGGACCGGGCAGGTTGGGAGGTGGTATCAGGGTGGGTGGCTAGTAGGGGAATTTGTCATGGGTGCAGTTCTTGGCAATGACAAAGTCTGGGGTCCACCCACGGGAGAGGCCGGGTGGAGGACAGGACCACTGGAAGAGAGGAGGTCAAGGGACTGAGGGGCCAGGCTACCCCCTCACCACCCCTGTGGCCCTTGAAATAAAAGTGGTGACAGCAGCGCTGGAGATGGTGGCAGGAGCTGACACCCTCAAGGAACAAGGACAGAGTGACAGTGGCCTGGAAGGGACAGTGAGGAGCAAGCCAGACCCCGGCCCACCCCTGGGCCCAGTGGATGCGGGGAGCAGGTGTCTGTGACAGGAAACTCTCCCAGATGTGGTTGAGGCCCCCGTGCTGATGATGGCGTGTGACACTGACTGAGACTGGAGGAGGTTGGGAGATGGGGTCAGGTTAGCGGATGAAAGTCTGGGAGACTTGGGTTCCCCTGGCAACTGATTAAATAAGGACAAAGATGGGAGGGTAAGGTGGGAGGCTGCCTGAAGGGATCGTGCCTCAGGCGGGTGGTGAGGCCAAGAGTGGGGGGTGGGGGACGAGGATCTTGCCAGGAGCCTACAGGGCTCAGGGGCCCCCTCCACCCCAGCCTCATCCTTAAAACGAGGAGATTCAGAACTGCCTTGTGGAGCCATGGTGCACATCAGAGAGCCAGGCACTGAGTGGGACCTGGGGTTGTTCAAACTGTGACCATCATCACAATGGTCAAAGGGGGCTGTTGCTTTGGGGGACTGAGTGACCATGGTGGGGGCTAGAGAGGGGTGTCTGGTTTCTCCAGGGCTCTCAGGGGTCCAGGAAAGGATGAAGGCAGAAGGAAATGTCAAAGGACAGTGCATTTTTACAGTCAGGTGGATGTCTGCAAGTAGACTTGACCTTGGGTGATGGCCCTGAGGCTGATGGCTCTGCCCTGGGGTCTGGCAGTGGAGACCCCCGACTCGTCATGGAGGGAGAAACATTGACATGTAGTTCCCTGGTCTGACTTCCCCTCTAGGGTGTGGGCTTCATGGCCAAGGGCCTCATGGAACCCTAGGGCCTAGCCCAGGGCCGGGACAGGGAGGCACACAGATCAGGCTTACTCAGGGGATGAAGGACAAGATGCACCTGTGGAAGTCCTGTTGGCTTAGCTCCGGGTGCCCTGCAGCCCGAGTTTGCAGGGCATCCCCTCTGAGTCTACGGCCCAGGAAGGCTGGTCCCTCCCTGCTGTAGCTGGTGGTCCGAGGAGCAGCTTGGAGGCCCGGGAGATGAGTGCCCCTGGCTGGGGCCTGGCGGACTGAGGGTTCCCCACCCCCTTTCTGGAGTGTAGGGTTCTAGGGCATCCGGTGGATGTGCTATATCAGGCAGACGGGGAAAATTTTGCTCTGGGTCCTGGCATCAGTCAAGTTTTGTACCACCTGGGACAGATGGGCCTGCATCTCTCTGCAGAGTAGGGGAAACTGAGTCCATTCATTCACTTAACAAGTGTTTATGAGCACTGACTGCACACCAGGCACTGTTATAGGTGCTGGGATATAGCATGAGCAGAATAGACAGAACTGCCCGCCCTCGTGGGCCTGACCTTCTAGCAGGAGAGATGCACAGTAAATAACAGCATGATTAACAGTCAGCAGAGTGAGAGCGATAGGGAGAGTGGGGGAGAGGGTGGGGAAAGGGGTAGCATTACATGGAGTGATGGGGGAGCTCACTGAGAGCGTGACATTTAAGCAGAGCCCTGAAGCGAGTAAGGGAGTGAGCCGTGTGGATATCTAGGGGGAGGAGCATTTTCTGCAGAGGAAACAGCTGGTGCAAAGGCCCTGAGGCAGGACAGCCTGACAGCTTCCTGGAACAGCAGGAAGGTGAGTGTGGCTGGAGCAGAGTGAGCGAGGGTTGAGTGTGGTTGGAAGGAGGAGTTTCTAGGGGGTGGCAGAGGGCAGATCAGGAGGGGTCTTGTATGTCATTGTGAGAATCTGCTGCGTGTGACCGGAACCACTGCTTTTGAGCATTGGAATAACATGTGCTGTGTGCAGAACAGACTGAAGGGGGCACAGGTGGGCCTAGAGAAATGGGTGAGGAGACTGCCCAGCAGTCTAGGAAGGCAGGGATGGCAGTGGAGGAGGTGAGATGGGGTCCTGAATGGATTTCCTGTTGGGCTAGAGAATTCAGAGGCATCAGAAGATGAAACTTTGGGGTGGGAGTGGGCTATCCAGAGGTGAAAACTCCAGAGTCTCTGCTCCCTGGAGCCTCAGTGGAAGGGTTAAAAGGCATGGCGTGGCACCACCCTAGCTCCCTTTTGGCTGTCTTATCTCTGAGGTTCCACGTTAGAGCCACTGAAAGGGCTCAGCCACAAAAACAAAGTTCAACAGGCATTTTTCTGCTCCAAGCCCTTCAGGTTACAGATGGGGAGCCTGAGGCCAGGAGACGATGCGGCCATGGTGGGTCATGTGGGAATCACTGGCGAGCTGGGATGGAGCCCTGCGGCCCAAACAGGCTGGTCTCCAGGCCAGTGGCACACCCCACTGCTCCTCCCCAACCCAGCCCACTACCCCACTGGTCTCTCTCCTGAGCCCCTGGACCCTTCCCTCTCTCCTTTCTGTCAGTGATGTGCCCAAGGGCTCTGTGACCTTCGGAATCTCTGGGAGCTCCGGGGTGGAGATCTTCATGGTCTACAATCCAGCACAGGTGACAAAGCCCACAGGCAAGACCCACTGGCCCCTGGGCGCCGGCGTGGACGTGATCATATCCGTGGACACAGCCAGTAAAGATTTAAATGATCTCAAGGTAAGAGGCCACCTCCCCACAGAAGGTAAGAGCCCCCCACAGAGCACACCCTATTCGCTCATCTCCCCCCCACCCAATCCCCATAAGGCTTTGCCACCCACATGCACACAACACAGCCTGATACAGTCCCTAGACACCCCAAGCAGGCAAAGCCACCTCAGCGCCCCAGCATCTCACACACACACAAACGAAACTCCCATAAAAGCACAGCCTGTCTGCTCACCCCTCAAATTCACAATCACCCCCGTTGATCCCTGTACTCAATTCCACACAGACTCCAAACAAACCCCCAGTTACTGAGCCCATAGCAGGACCTGTGTATGCTCATACACATGCGTGAGACATTCACCGGTACATACCTGGCTGTGTGTGTGTGTCTCCCACCTTTTACAGAGGACACCGTCCTCACTCCCGCCCAGGTGCCTGCCACACACACAGTGACTCCTGATTCATTGATTCAGCCTTTACTCCAGTGACAGGTGTTAAGAGCAGGGGCCCTGGAGCTCAAATCTTACCTCTGGGCCCCATTTACTGGGCCATCCTGGGATGTCGTTGAGATGGCCTGGGTCAAGCACTTGGAATGGCTTCTGGACCTTGGGGAAAGCTCCATGAGCACTGGCTGTTATTGTGGGTGTAGGGATTGTTATTCCCATTTTATAGATGAAGAAACAGAGGCCAAGAGAGGTTGAACAACCTGCCTCAGTCAATGGCGACAGCTTCCCCATCCCTCATTTTTCTCTCTGACAACTGCATGGATTCTTGAGGCTCCAGCTGTTCCCTCTGGGATCTGCACCCACCCTGTCCCTCAGCTCAGCCCTGGGAGCCAGGGAGGCATCCTTGGCCTCTCCAGCTGCAGAAGGCAGCTCTGAATCCAAGCTGGAAGCCCATGAGTCTTGGGCCTTCAGCAATAGGGAGTACGGGGGGACCCCGCACCTCCCCTGCCTCTAGGCAGGGCCTTCGGGGTGTCCCCCAGTCTCTGTGCCATGGCCATTGGAAGGGGCTGCCGTGCTGGCTCAGGGCTGATGATGTCCCTGCAGGTGAAGGTCTCCTACTTCGGGCAGCAGGAGGGCGGTGCCCTGGGCCAGAGCGTGCTCTACCTCACTGGCGTTGGTAAGTACCACCTCCTGGCTGGCCGTTTGAGGGTCTTAGGGGAGCCCCTGAGTGCAAGTTGATGGTCACCTTCCTCCTCTGTCGAGGAGTTTGGCTTCTTAAGAGGCTGTGCATCTTCTTTAGGACCTCGGGGGTAGAGCCCCACCATACTTAAGGGCCACGAGAATCTAGAAACTGCACTGCCCATAGGTCAATGGCTAAACTCCTTCATCCAGAATCCCACCTGTCACCCTCACTGGAACTCCAAGACTTAATCACTAGACCTCGGAGAGCCCTATGCCGCCTTCAACTGGGGCATGGGGCAGCTGGCTCCAAGTCTCATCTTGACCACCAGAGTCAGGGCCACCAAGAGGCAGCAATTCAGCACACGCTGATGAGTAAGAAATTCAAGAGCCAAAGACTTGATTCCCTCCAACACCCAGAACCACGGGGGGCTACCACAGGGGCCTCCCAGGAGTTGGGTGTGGTCCTCAGAACAGGGCCTCCTGGTTCTCATGGGCTTGGGGAGGGGGCAGAGCTTGCCCCAACCTGGACATTATGGGTGTGAGGCTGGGACTAGGGAGCCCCTGGTAGCCCCTCTCCATCCCTTTTCAGACATCTCCCTTGATGTCGACATGGGCCGCGCCGGCAAGGTGAAGAAGAGCCAAGGTGACAAGGTGGGACTCTCCTGGCTAGCCCAAGAAGGCAGAGTTGACAGGCAAACCTTGGGGTGGGGTAGGCTCTCCTTCCAGAAGGCTAATGAATTCTAAGGTCTGGGGTATCCAACAGGGTAGGGAAGTCATCTGAGGACTGCCAAATCGGCACAAGTAGGCACAAGTGTGATCAAAATGCTGTGTGACTCCTGGAAAATAGCTTACCCTCTCAGAGTCTCTCTTGTGCCACCTTAGAACTGGGATTGGTTCTTTGGTTTGATGTCTTTTCTATTTCCTGGGCTGTATTTAAACCCCTAAACATGACAGGTACTTCATAAAAGATTGTAAAGTGACAGAATGAAGGCTTTTAGTAGACGAGGCTGAGTAGAAAGCCCCAGTTGGACTCTAAGAGTGAGGAGGAGGATGGGGTAGGCTCAAGGCGTTATCCCATAGGAAGTGTCTGAAAGCCATTCTGGGAGGGTAGGAGATAGAGTTTGCAGGGAAAGTCCCCAGAGAGGAAGCCTGGCTCACATACAAGACTTTGTAGACAAGATGGAGCAGGGTTGCCATGGATAGCTGTGCAGGTTGTTCACTGCACAAGATTGCTTGGGCAAGGTGGTGGGTGGGGCCTATGATGCAAACCATGTCTTGGGCCCTGGTGCAGAACAGCATCTAGCCAGAGGGGTGAACAAGAATGCCATATAGGTTAGCAGTGGCCCTGTGAGTTTGAGTCCCATCTATGTGACTTGGGGCTCACTTCCCCAGAGCCTCTTTCCCATGTCTGTGAAATGGGGAAAATAAGCCCTGCCTTGCAGAGTCTGGTGGGGATAAAGTGGAGGCACATCAGGAAGAGCTTGGATCACAGAGGCAGGGCTCCAGCCATCTTTCTTGCCTTAGTTTGGACCTCCCTGTAGGGCCTTCAGGACCATGAGTGAATGTCAGAGACATCTGTGGGCCAAGCCCCAGGAGAGACGTGGGGTGGGGATTCTCCAGCCCCATCAAGGTCAGGGAGAGGCAGCCTCTGTCCCCCAGGTCGGGCCAATGCTAAGCAGCTGGCAGAGGCCTTTCTGGGTTCGGCAGCATCACCCTCTTCTGGTGTGATGGCTGGGTAGGGCTGCTGGGTGGGGGTGTATAGGCTGTTCACTGGGTCTAGAGACCTGGAGCTTTAGTCCCCGTATTTATGACCCCTCTTTAAATCTTTAAGCAAACCCAGAATACAAGCCTCGAAGTTAACAAAGCAGGACCCCTTCCCAGAGACCCCTGGGTTCCCCTGACCCCAAGGCCTCTTGTTTTGCCACAGAAAACCTGGCGCTGGGGCCCTGAGGGCTATGGGGCTGTCCTGCTGGTGAACTGTGACCGGGATAGTCTCAGGTCCAAGGGGCTGGACCTCACCAACACCCAGCTGACATCACTGAATGGTGAGTAACAGAAGGGGTGTGCAGGGCTGTCCAAGGTGATAGTGTGGGGTGGTGGGAGGGTTGTCTCATGGGTACCACTCTCTCCAGACCTGCAGGACATGTCCCCCATGGTGCTGAGCTGCGATGGCCCTGACGAGCTCTTTGACAACCACAAGCTGATCTTGAACGTGCCATTTTCTGATTCCAAAAGAGTGGGGGTCTTCTGTGCTAGGGGTGAGTGGCCTGGAGGGTCCTCTTCCCTCCCTGCTCCATCCTCTGCTTCTCAGACTGGTTCTTTCTTCTCTGATCCACATCTCTCCCTTCTCCATCATCTTTTTGTAATTCTCCCAACAGCTTACAAACAGCCACTCCATCAGGACACGACCTATTGCCCAAGAAAGAGGGTCCCAAACTAGACCCATCTTACCGAGGGGGAAACTGAGGCTCAGACCCATGAATTCACTGTCCTAAGGTCACATAACCAATTGTGGGTGGAGCGGGCATCAAAGCCTGCTCTTTGATACCAAAGCCTCCCTCATCTTTCTTTTTCTTTCTTTCTTTTTTGGAAGGGGGAGGTAATTAGGTTTATTTATTTATTAATTTATTTTAACAGAGGTAACTGGGGATTGAACCCAGGACATCGTGCGTGCTAAGCACACTGTCTACCACTGAGCTATACCCTCCCCCAGCCTCCCTCTTCTTTTCCACAGCCGCTGACCCTTCCCCCAACCCCATCCCCTCTCTGGGCTGTCAGCCTGGAATGGGTTCTCCATGTATGACCAGTATTGTCCAGGCTGGGTGAGGTGGGAGCAGGGACTAGAAAAGCTAAAAATCCAGCTGTTCTGCCAAAGAGGTTATTAATTGAAGTCTGTGGCTTAAAAAAACAAAACAAAACGAAAACAATCCTTAACCCTGAGGTGCCCTTACTCATTTTTATAAATAGCAAGAAGCCTCTCCTGCCCCTTCCTTCTTCCTTTTCACCCTCTGTTCAAACTGACCCAGAACTTGTTCCAGCTAAATGAGACTGATAGGAACCAGAATGTTCCTTCTCTGCACCTGTGGTGGAAGTTTAGGCAGAGGTCCAGCCTGAAAACATTTACTTGTGATACCAGAACATAAGAAAAATCTCATTTAAGTGAACTGACAACCTTTCCTGCTGTGACTAAGAGCGTGCCAGGGTGACACTTCCCAGACAACCCTTGGAGGGGAGGAGAAAAGGGGACGGGCCAGAACTCCTGTGTGCTGGGCGCTTTTCTTTTTTTTTTTTGCGTTCTTTTTTATTGACGTATAGTCAGTTCACAATGTTGTGTCAATTTCTGGTGTACAGCATAGTGTTTCAGTCTTACATATACATACATATATTCCTTTTCTTTTTCTTTTTCATTATAGGTTACTAGAAGATATTGAATATAGTTCCCTGTGCTATGCAGAAGACACTTGTTGTTTATCTATTTTATATGTAGTAGTTAGTATCTGCAAATCTCAAACCAGGCGCTTTTTTTTAATTGAGGTGAAATTCACGTAACATAGAATTAATCATTTTAAAGTGAGCAATTCAGTGACATTCTCAATGTTGTGCAACCACCACAAAATTTCTAGTTGCAGACATTTTCATCACCCTCAAGTAAAAGCCTGTACTCACTGTCACTCCCCATGCCCCCACTTCCCAGCCCTAGGCAACCACCAACCTGCTCTCTGTCCCTAAGGATGTACCTACTCTTTCAACTTGTACGAATGGAATCATCCAGTGTGTGGCCTTTTGTGTTGGGCTTCCTTCACTTAGCATAATGGTCTCAAGACTCATCCATGCTGTAGCGTGTCTCAGTACTTCATTCCTTTTGTGGATGAATAACATTCCAGGATACGGATATGCAACATTTCATTTATCCATTCATCTGGTGATGGACATTTGGGTTGTCTTCCCCTTTTGTGCCAGGTGCTTTTATTTCCTTATCTGATTTAAAGCTTACATTGACCTCATGAGAAACATATAATGTTAGCCCATTTTACAGATGAGGAACTGAGGCTCAGAGAGGTTGAGTCATTGGGCTGAGGTCATGCGGCTTGCACGTGGCAGAGCTGGAGAAGAGCCCAAGTAGTTCTAACACAAAGGTGACTCTGCCCCTGGATTTCTGGTCTCAGGTTCCCTGTCCTCCCATCTTCACAGCGCCACCCCCCTGTCGCAGCACTGCTCCCCACCCCCCCCGACCCCGGTGCTGACTCTGGTTGCCCCTAGGTGGGAATTCCCTCTCCGACTACAAGCAGGTGCTGGGACCCCAGCATCTGTCCTACGAGGTGGAGCGGCAGCCGGGGGAGCGGAAGATCAGCTTCTATGTGGAGGGGTTCACCTTTCCTGATGCTGATTTCTTGGGGCTGGTCTCTCTCAGCGTCAGCCTGGTGGACACCAAGGTGCATAGGGCGTTGGGGGCTGGGATGGGGGTGAGGGGCTTCAGGGACCAGTTTGGAGCCTCCAGGGCTGGGAGGCTGGAGGCTGGGGGAGTCTTGAGGCCTGATGGGACTCCCTGCATTTTCCCCCCAGACCCTGCCTGAGGTGCCCCTCTTCACAGACACCGTGACCTTCCGTGTGGCCCCCTGGATCATGACCCCCAACACCCAGCCCCCCCTGGAGCTGTATGTGTGCAGGTGAGGCCTCGCCCCTCCTGCAGCTCCCCCACCAGCTCTGGACTCGTAGAGATGGGAGCAGAATGCTGTACTGGGGTTGGCCCCTCCTTCACTCTGGACAGATTCACTGAGGACACCCACAGGCACAAGCTGGGCCTTCAGCCCCACCTGCTCTGAGCACTAAGGCCCTGGCCACAGTCACTGGCTCAAGCTCCAGCAATCCTGCCCCTACCCTGCCTGCAGCAGCCCTGCAGCATCTGGGATTGATCCAGGCCGTGGGGCCAGGCCCTGTTCAGGCTGCTAGTGGCTGTGTGAGACCTAGCCTTGCTCTGATTTCAGTGTGCTCCTGGGCCCTTAGAGAACTTGGGAACCCAGCCTCCAGGATCTGCTGTGAGCCCTGCCCCAAAGTGCAGTCCTGGTCCCTCTGCCGTCTCTCAGAATCCTTGTCAGACCCCTTGATGGACAGGTGAGCCTTGATTGGCATCAGAGACTGGACCAATGGAAAAGGCTAGAGGTGACTTGGAACATAAGTCAAAAGGCCAGGAAGGGTGTGGCCAAACAGGTTTGCTCTGCTTACCTGGGTCCAGGTGCGTGCAGGTGTTCAGAAGGAAACACTTTCTTTCTGCTTGCTCACTAACCCCACCCTCACACGTTTATTTAGGTCAATTGTGAGAAACTGGAGAAGATAGGGACTACCTGCTCCCCACTACCTCCTTAACCAGCGGTAGATTTTTCCCTCCCCTTGTGCCTACCACCTGATGTGATCTGGGGACATTATACATCTCTGTCATTAGCCCATGAGCCTCTCTAGTGCAGGGGCTGTGTTTGAACTCCTGTACCCAGGGGCCACAGGGGGCCTAGCACAGACTGGCCACCCCATCCATCCATCCCTGCCTTCTGGCCCTAAGGCCAAGGCCACAGTCAAAGTCATTATTTCTCTCCCCTCTCCCTGTGCTCTGCAGTGTCGTAGACCTTCATGGCTCAAATGAGAAGTTTCTGGAGGACATGTCTAACCTGGCATTGAAAGCCAACTGCAAACTGATCATCTGCCCTCAGATTGAGAATCGAAATGACCGCTGGATCCAGGTGGGAGCGGGAGGGACCCTGGAAGAGAGGAAGGCAGCCCTGGAGGCCTGAGCCCCATACTTTACTCTGGCTTTTGGGAAAGAGGGTGTGCACAGGCTCCAACCTGGCTTCCATCTCCTTAGAGAAGCCAGGCGGGCTGAGTGCCCGGACTCAGGGTTGGGGCGTGCAGTCTAGGGGAACCCTCTCCCGCTGCCTGTATCGCCCTAGTCTCTCCTGCTGCCGTCCAGATACTCTGGTCCCTGGCAGAGTCCTCTCCTGGCTGAGGTCCTGAGAGGCCTCACTCCACCTCTGTTCCCCGCCCCCTGCACCCTCCAGTCCCCGCACTGCCCTAGGCCTGGGGGATACCCTAATTCTTAATACTACACACCCAGGTGGTCACTGTGGTCTTTTCCTCCCTCTCCCAGGATGAGATGGAGTTTGGCTACATCGAGGCCCCTCACAAGTCCTTCCCAGTGGTCTTTGACTCCCCTCGAAACAGAGGCCTGAAGGATTTCCCTTATAAGAGGATCCTGGTATGTGGCCAAGGACAGAGTGGGGAAACCTTGGGTGACTCCTTCTATATGACCCTTCAGTCAGCCTGGTCCTAGTGTTTTAGGGGTTGCAAAAGGACACAGGCGGTGAGGCCTGGCAAATGAAGAGTTAGTGGGAGGTTTGGGACGATTATTTAAATTGAATGCAAATCACATGCAAATCACCCCTGTTCTGGGCCGAGTAGGCCAGCAAAATTCTCCTAGGCGAAGTCACTCCCCCAAGGAGGAGTGAACAGAGGAGTCAGCCCTGTGGAGACCAAACTGCCTTTTAAGGGAAGTGCACCCTCAGTGAACCCTCATGGCTCTTGCTTTTGTGACCTGGGGCCTCTCTTCAGGTAATGAATATTTTCTGAACACCTACTGTGTGCCAGGCACGATGCTGCCCCCTATACACAGCAGGGCAACAAGAGCAGCTCCAGCAACTGTGTACTGAGTTCCAGGCCCTCCCTCCTAGTTTTACATGGTTGCTAATTTAATCCACGTGGACTCCTATGGATAAGGACTGTTATTATTCCCTCTTTACTGAGGCTCAGAGAGGTTAAGCAATTTATCCAAGGCCACATAGCCAGTTAGCGGTGGCACCAAGATGCAAAACTAGAGCGGCTGCCTCCACAGCCCCTGCACTTCACTGCTAGGCTAAACCACCTTTTGAAGTGGCCTGTGTCCCATTTACTGGCCCCCCATCCCCCACCACCAGGATGATGCCAGGGTCCAGGTAGGGGCTCTAATGGGAAAGTCTAGGAGCTCGTGGGCACACAGAGCAGGGGCATTCTCCCCAGCCTGGAGGGATCAGGGACGAGTCCCTGGGGAGGTGAGTCTGCATCAACCAAGGACCTGACCCGAGCCCTGGGCCTGACCTGGACAGCGCATTTTCTACCAGTCTCTGATCCTTTTTCATTATTTTCTTCCGTCTACTTTCTTTAGGTTTAATTTGCCATTCTTTTCCTAGCTGGAAGTGGAAGCTAAGATTTTTCAACCCTTTGTCCTCCTAATATGTGTGTTTAGAGCCAGGGCATTTCCCTAGAAGTGCAGCTTCACTGGCCTCGCACACGTTTAATGTGCTGTGTTGACCTTACCTTTTAGCTCAAAATATTATCTAACCTTCCCTTTGGCTTCTTCTTTGACCCATGGGTTCTTTAGAAGTGTGATGTTGCCTGATTTCCAAACATTTGGGGATTTTCTAGTTACAGTTCTGTTATTGGCTTAGACTTTAATAGCACAATGCTCAGAGCACAGGGAGGATTTTTTAGGGAGTGGGAGCCCCCCACCCCATCACCCCTAGCCCCCCTGCCCCAACAGCTGTCTCTCCCTGTCCTCACTGACCCCTCCTTCTGGGGGTGGTCTCGTTGGTCCTCCCCTAGGGTCCTGACTTCGGCTATGTAACCCGGGAAATCCCATTCGTTGGTGCCTCCGGTCTTGACTCCTTCGGCAACCTGGACGTCAGCCCACCGGTCACTGTGGATGGCAAGGAGTATCCCCTGGGCCGTATTCTCATCGGCAGCAGCTTCCCCAAGTGAGAAACCAGGGTGGAAGGGTGGCGGAGGTCACTGGAGGGCATGGGGGGGGGGCGAGGGAGGAGGGAGTGACTACAGCATCCACCCTCCAGCTCCCGCACCACAAACACAATTCTCCATCTGAGAAGTGGTCTTAACTTCCTGCATGGAATCCTAGAATCAAAGACTCAGGGTCCTAGCATCTTAGATTTGAAAAATTACAGAATTTTAGGAAAAAACCCACAAACTAGTGGCCCACGGTCTTCGACCCTGCCTAGTATTTTATGAGCGTAATTAGTCACCAACATTAAATCAATATGTATCAGAACGCCTCACACAAAAAGCCAGATTTCTGGCTTCTTTTGAAAAAATCAGAAGGGCTGGGAGGTGATGTGTAATCCAGCGCGGAGGTAGGAGACGGATCCCAGGAGGAGATCAAAACAGCTGCTGTCCTGGCAACAGCATGAAAGGGCACAGAGGTCACCACACGGCTGCAGGTGAGCGAGTGGCTGGTCGGGATACCAGGGTGACAGAGGTGACTCGATGGGTCCCACCCTGAATAGCTGTCATCGGGCAGGAAACACAGCATTTAGGGTTTAAGGTATCTGTTAAATCCCCCTGAGTAGGTCCCACCCTGCAACTGAAGAATGGGGTGTGTAGCACAGGGATCCTGGTGGCATCCCCTGCTTCCTGCCCCAAAGATTAAGCCCATCACAGTCCCCAGAGGCCACCTTCCTGTTTGTGTGGGGCTAGTGTGGAGCCCAGATGTGCCCCAGCTTGCCTCCGCATGCCCTGACTACCTGCTCGTGGGCCGGGAGCAGCCAGGAAGTCCTGGGAAGGTCATCCAGCTTCACATGGTGACCCTGGTGGCCTCAGGGCTCTGGATCAGGTGAGGTGAGTCTTTCTGGCACCAACCCCGGGTGCAAAGCCAGGTGCCCAGGCTGGGTGCCCGGGGCTGAGGTTGGCCAGGGCAAGAGGAGTGTGTCTGCTCACCTTGCTGGTGATTCATGCCCAGAACTACTCTGGGGCTAGATCCTGACCACAGCCCTGGGGATAGAAGGGACTTGGGACCTCTGGGCAGTCATTCTGTGCTTCAGGGAGAGGGACTCAGGAGCAAGGAGCACAGGCTTTGAAATCAAATGGATTTGGGTTTAAGTCCTGGCTCTGCCACTTATTGGCCATGTGACTTGGGGGTATATCACCTAACTAGTGCCTACCACAGTGCCTGGCACATAGTAGGTGCTTGATTATTTCATTTAAAATATTTATTGAATGCCTACGAAATGCCAGGCACTGTTGAAGGTAGTAAGGCTATATCAGGTGACAAAGATACATTATTAGTTGAACAAATTATTTTATATTTTGTGCCTCAGTTTCCTCATCAGTAAAATGGGCCTACAAAAAAAGTCTCCATCTTAGCTATATAATTGCCATTACTGGGGATAAAGGATTCATGTTAACTACCTTCCAAATGCTTAAGAATTGTTTAGCTGGATCTCTAGCCGTGGCTCTGCCTTGAAGCAGGTTGGAACTCAATGGATAAAAGTTATTGATCACCTATGTGCCATGAACTATGCGCCATAGTGCTTTACCCAGGTTACCACATTTAATTCTTATAACAGCCCTATAAAGTTGGGACAACTGTTATCCCCATTTTACAGATGAGGAAGTTGAGGCTTAGTTAAGTGAAGTGAATACCCTCATTCATGCATTCATTTATCAATTCAACAAATATTTATTGAGACTTCTGATATACCAGGGCTGGGGCCCTATGCTGAGGATGAAAGAAATATTTATTGAGACTTCTGATATACCAGGGCTGGGGCCCCAAGCTCAGAGCAAGGACCCCAGAAGGGAAGGTGTGGGGTCTCTAGTACAGCTAGGCCCCACTCCATTGGCCATTGTGTTGAAAACCAAGAATAAAGCTTTTGGTGATCAGATGGGATCCCGAGGGTCAGAGAGGGACAGCTACTGCCTAGGACCACACAGCAAGTTAGTACAATGGTCAGAATCCAGGTCTTCTCCTTGGGCCTCAAATTAAAACTTAACACCCAAGCTGCGGAACTATGTTCCTATCTTGGCTTTGACCTCAGCAGTGAACAAAACAGACAACCTACATACATTCTAGCAGAGAGAAACCAACAGTAAGCAAACATAGTAAATAAATAAATTGTCTAGTATGTTAGATAAAAGTAGCTTTGGTGAGGGGTTGACATTTCCCTGAAGGAAATGAGATGGTTATAGTTGTGGCTATCTGGGAGGAGAATGTGCAAGGGAGCGGGAAAAGCTAGTGCAAAGGCCCTGAGGCAGGGCTGTGCTGGAGACATTAGAGGAACAGCAGGAGGCCAGTGGGGCTGGAGCAGAGGGAACAAGGGGGTGTGGAAGGGGATGAGGTCAGAGAGCTTGGTAGGGCAGCGTTCAGATCATGACCTGGGCCCATTATTTGTAGGACTATCATAGGGTTATTATGGGGATTAACAAGATACTCAGTGTGAGGAGCCTTAGGCAGGTGCATAGTAGGTGCTCAGTAAATGCCCCCTCTATTCTCTGCTATCTTGGGTTCTCCATGCTCTGCTCTCACATTTAAAAGAATCTTTGAACAATTCTGCCCCCTGGTGGCAGCTTTGCTGTGACTCAGAGACCAGGTCTGAGGCTTCCCAGGGCTGGAGTCATCTGGTCCATCCCTCTGCCTCCAGGCAGAGGGCTGCAGAGTCTCAAGGAGGGACTCTGCCCCGCCTCCAATCTTATATGTTTCTGATTCCTGCCACTTTTTGCTCATGAACAATTTCTGAAATCTCACTCTTCTCTGCCATCTCTCTGTTTTTTAAAGAGGTCTTTTAAAATTGTCAACACTATATTAAAATACCAGAAATACAAGAAAAATACTTTCTGTGTTCCCATCCCTCAAATCAGGTTAATGTTGTCATGTGTCACTGCTTGCTGGACTAAGTCTGGTGAGGGCTGGCTGGGTGCCTTGGGTAAAGAATCAACCTGTCTGAGTCCCAGAATGTGAGATGAGTGTCTTCGGTTCCGTTTGGCACATGGTGGTCTCTCATTTGACTCTCTTTTGTGGGAAGGGGCAGCAGGACTTCCCTGGTCCTGGGGAGGATGCTTTGGGGTGAGGGAGGGTCAGACTGTCTGGGACGATGGTCAGGATGGACAGTGAGTCCCTGGGAGCACCTGGAGGCTGGGGCCAGAAAGTGGGGACAAAAGAAGACCCATTCAGAGAGTTGTCACGAGTCTTGGGCAGGGAAGCGCTGCCGGGAACCAGGACACAGGCGGCACCGATGGCCCTGCTCTTTCCCTCCCCGGCCAGGTCAGGTGGGCGGCGAATGGCCAAGGTGGTGCGTGACTTCCTGAAGGCCCAGCAGGTGCAGGCGCCCGTGGAACTCTACTCGGACTGGCTCTCCGTGGGCCACGTGGACGAGTTCCTGAGCTTTGTGCCCACCTCCGATCAAAAGGTACATCCCCTCTCCTCCCGCCTGAGCCGCCTCTGACCCGATGAGCTGGGATAGGGCAAAGCCACCTGAAACCAGCGCACCCTCTCTGTCCATAGAGAGCTTGGAGTCAGGGTAGCCTGCAGGCCAGGTGGTGTTAATCAGGGGGGCCTTCTTGGTGGAGGCCAGAGCTCAGGTCATGAGGGCACTCATCCGCTCACTACACATACACTTACTGGGTGTTCGCTCTGATTCAAACCTCTCAGCCAAGACCCAGAAATGACACTGATAATAATTGGTAACATTTACTTATGAGATGTACATGTTTTAATCCATTAAATCCTCTAACAGCCCCATGAGGTGGGTACTGTTATCATGGCCCCTACTTTGTAGATGAGGAAACTGAGGCTCAGAAGGGCAATCAACCAATAGGGTAAGATTCAGACCCAGATGGTGGGCTCTAGAGCAGCATGTTAACCCCTCAGCTCCACTGCCTTTCAGAGGTGACTAGGGAAGGCACAGCCCACAGGGAGCAGGCAGCCTGGGAGAGGAGGCCTCCCAGTGCCCAGTGGTTGAGTTCCCTGGTGGACAAAGTGAGGAAGAGCCTCCAGGCAAGGAGAAGGTCACGGACAAAGGCCTGGGGGTGTGAACCAGCTTGGAGGATTGGGGGATCTGCAGACAGTTCTCTGTGGCTGGTGGGTGGGATTGAGCAGGGGTGCCATGGGCAGTTGAGCCTCTGAACTCAGGCCTCTCCTGAGTCTGGGGCCTCCTGCATGTCGGGGGATCCCATACACTGAGCTCTCCCTCCCTCTGTGCCAGGGCTTCCGGCTGCTCCTGGCCAGCCCCAGCGCTTGCCTCAAACTGTTCCAAGAGAAGAAGGAGGAGGGCTATGGGGAGGCGGCCCAGTTTGACGGTGAGTGCCAACGAGCCCGTCACCCCTCTGGACCCTGCGCTCCCGTTGCCAGCCCTGGGCACTGCTGGTGCCCTTCATGGCCGCGCTCTGTCTACAGGCTCTTTGTCTTTGAGCTTTCAGCTCAGAGCCCAACATCACTGATTCTCCCAACACCTTCATATGGGACCAGAGGGTGAGGGCTCTCCCTTTCTTGAGCCAGGGGTGGAAGCCAAGGGACCCGTGGATTGTTCCCGGCACATGCAGGGTGTGACCCCCTCCCTAGGAGTCGGTGCATCCTGGCCACACCCCAGGAGAGGAAAGAAACAAGAAGCCGAGAGCGCTCCATGTGCCTGTCTGTGCAGGCGCTTTCATGCTGTTGACCAATCAGATCGCCAACCCCCTTCTCCTCACCCCTTTTCACTGAGGAGGAAACTGAGACTCAAGGAGAAGTGGCCTGCCCAGGGCTAAGCAGCAGGAAGCAGCAGGGACTCAAGAGTGGGAGGAATGAGAAGCCAGGAGGATGGTCAGGACCCCTCTGTAGACCCTCCTCTGGGACTTGAAAGACCCTCCAAGGGCCGGGCTAGCCCCTTTGAGCACCGCCCCCATTTCCCCACCATCGGGGGTTCAGTGTTCTTACCTGAGGAGTGGAGCACTGGACGGGATATGGCGTACCCTTTGGCTAAGATAGACCTGGATTCAGATCCTGGTTTTGCCACTTGCTGGCTGTCAGATCAAGGGTGTGTTCTGAACCTCTCAGTGCCTGTTTCCTCTTCTCTGAATAGGGGGTGATAATTAACCCAACCTAGTATTGTTTTAAAGATCAATAATAAATATAATGGCGGGGGAGGGTATAGCTCAGTGGTAGAGCATGTGATTAGCAAGCACAAGGTCCTGGGTTCAATCCCCAGTACTTCCATTTGGAAAAATATGCATATATGTAATTATTCCCCCCTACAAGATATTAAAAAATAAAAAATAACTATAATCGGAGGCCCAGAGCAGGGTAGCCGTACTGTTATTAGGCCCTGAGCGTAGGAGTCCCTTCCCAAGGAGTCCATAATCCATCACCAGGTTTTACTTGCAGCACGAGCTTGGTCCCATCTGGGTTTCCAGTCTCTGGCTTTCTCCATCCAAGCTTCAGACCCTGGTGCTGAGGTGGGAGGAAAGTCCTGGCCCAGATTCTGCAGCCCAGGCTGGAGGTAGCTCTGGGCAGGACTCCCTGAGCTGGCTACTGTCTTCTTTGTCTTGCAGGGTTAAAGCACCAGGTGAAGAGAAGCATTAATGAGATGCTGGCAGACAGACGTCTCAGGAGTAACAACCTCTATGCACAGGTGAGGGGGGTGGAGGGTGAAACAGCCCCAGGAACCACTGGGGTGGGGGTGAGGGGTTCGGCCCTGGACCTCTGACTGTCCTGGGTGCTGCTGAGACCTGTGGGTAGGGTAGGGCCTCTGCCCTTAGGACCCCACAGTCTGGTGGAAGAGACACAGCCACGCCAGGGGAGAGCTTGCCCTGCTCTGGGGAAATGACAGATTTATACGGAAGCAGACGCGTTCTCCCCTGAGAAGTCTGGTGAGATGAGAGATGTGGCTGGGAAATAGGGCTCTGTGGGGGTGATGGGTGGGGTGGGTGGGAGTCAAGGAGACCCTGTGAGGAGGTGAGGAGACAGGTTGGAAGGAGGTCTCAGGAAGAGGCGAAGCTAATGCCTGCCACGTGCGTGGTGCAGGCCTGGCACGGGGTCCTGCTTAGTAAATGGGAGGATGCCCTGGGGCTCCTCCTCAACTGGGCAGGGGCTTTTAAGCCCAGCTGTGGCTGGAACAGCTTCGGGAGGCGGCAAGCACTTTTGGAACAAGAGACTGCCTGGGTCCAAAGCCCAGCCCCACTACCTCCTAGCTCTGTGCCCTCGGGCAGGTCACTTGAGCCTCCATTTCCCCGTCTGGGGCAGCAATGGCACAAAGCCATTGTGAGGATCACAGGAGCTCAAGGACACAGAGGGCCCTGCGCGGGGGCCAGCACACAGCAGGCACTCAGCAAGCGCTGGCTCCTTCCTGGCTCCCTCGTGCCTGTGCCTCTCCTCCCACCCCCAGAAATGCATCGACTGGAACCGGGAGGTGCTGAAGCGGGAGCTGGGCCTGACGGAGCGGGACATCGTGGACATCCCCCAGCTCTTCTCCCTGACGGGCTCCTACGCAGAAGCCTTCTTCCCTGACATGGTGAGAACAAGGAGGCAGGATGGAGCATTTCTGTCCCTGGGGCCTGACAGGGTCCTGATGGGCAGTTAGCAGAGGTTCCAGAGGTCCCTGTTCCTGTCCACAGACACTGGCACAGAGGCTGGGGCAGGCCCTGTGAACCTCTCCAGTGTTTGCTTTTGGGGCAGATATAGAATATCTCCATCAGTAGTTCTCAACCATGGTGATTTTGCCCCCCAGGGCATTTTGATGCCGCTGAGCAGGATGCTACTGGCATTTAGTGGGTGGAGGCCAAGGATGCGGCTAGGTATCCTACAGTGCACAGGGCAACCCTCACATCTAAGGGTTTTTTCCTTGCAAAGAGAAAAAGGAAGCATGGTTTGGTTCCAAATGTTTCAGGCTTCTGTTTCTGGGCCTCAGCTGCCTGCTCTGCTCCCCTTCCTGGCATCCTGTCGCCTGCTCCCCATTAGGGCTCCTGAATCAGGCAGCTGGGGTGGGTGGTAACTGCCTCACTGGCTGTCATTAACTCAGGCAGCTGACAAGCAGATGAGCAGATGTGATCTCACCATTGTGGCCCCTGGGAGGGGCCTGAGCGATGCTATCAGCACAGTGCTGCCCAGAGTGCTCATTAACCCCTTGGGAAAAGATGTCGGGGCCAGGGGGTATTGACAGCTGTGAGGGGTGGTTCCCCAGGATGAGAGACCCTCCTTCTTTAGCCTGGGGCCTTTAACTCGAATCCCTGTCATTGGACAAGCCAAGGGTTGGGAGTGAATCCAGGGAATCCAGGGGTCTTGACTGGAGGCAGGTGCGTGGGTGGGGCTTCCCTGCCAGGATTGTATTCACTCCTGACTCCTCGCTGTGGGGTCCTGGCAGAGACCTGGAAGGCAGGGCTTCACAGCCTCGGTACTACTGCTATTTGGGGCTGAAGAATCCTTTGTTCTGGGCGGTGCCCTATGCATCCCAGGATGGTTGCAAAATGCCCTAGGGGACAAAATCACCCTGGTTGAGAAACATTACTCTAAGTCAGGGCTGTTAGAACTTTCCCAGATGATGGAAATGTTCTACATCTGTGCACCGTGACATGGAAGCCACCCCATGAGGCTATAAGCACTTCAAATGTGGCGACTGTGACTGAGGAATGGAATTTTTACCTTTATTTTAAGGCCAACAGCTGCAAGTGCCTGATGGCTACCGTGTTGAAGAGCAAAGCTGTAAGGAGGCGCCTGGCTCTGGTGCTGGCTGAGGGTCGGGGAGGGCTCAGGACTTTGGTCAGCCCTCCTTGGGCTGTGGCCTTGCCCACACCTGCTGGGAGCCCCCTTCCCAACATACACCCCTCTGTGGGAATCTCCCAGCTCCAGCTCAGGCCCTGTGAGAGGATCCCAGTGTGTCCTCACTGTTCTTAGGGAACACTCAGTTCACCCCTCCTTTGTCAGACGGGGAAAGGGACACTCAGGGGAGAGTGAGAGCCTGAGGTCACCCAGCAAGCAAGTGGGCCAGCCTCCAACCTCCCGAGTCCTCATTCAGGAGGAAGCAAACCGGGCTGCCTGTGGTTCTGAATCTGGCTCTTGGCCCTACTCCCACCCCAGCATGTTCTGGTCCATTAGTGGGCAACTAGGCAGCTAAGGACCGAGGCCATGGGACTGACCCCAGGGGGACCCTCCAGCTCCATTTTGGTCCCAGTAGTGGATGGCCCTGCTTGGCAGACTTGAGGGTGAGGGGTCAGGGCATGGAGATCAGGAGGGAAGCTCACTCCACACTGAGATGACCTAGTACCAAACAAAGCAAGTCCAGAGTCCAGAGTGTCCCCTTTGAGCACCAAGGACAGCTCCTATGGCCATCCATCTGGGCCAGAGGTTACCTCTAAGAAACCTCTACACCCTGCACTGGGCAGACTTCCCTTCCCCTGTGTTAGGGCCCTCAGCCAGGGAAGCAGAGGTGCCACCAGAGATAAACACAGTTGTTCCCAAGGGCTTCCAGCCCCTTACCCCAACTCCTCAGCACCCCAGGCAACCACAGTGCAACACTCTGGCAGACTATAAAGAGCACGGGCTGTGGCATGAGTCAGACCTGAGCCAAATTTCAATCTCCCCGTTCTCTGACTGTGTAGCCTCAATTACGTTACTTAAGCTGTCTAAGCCATGGCCTTGGAGGGAGGCTGTGGGGTTTAGTGATGCTATATTTGGCACATAGAAGATGCCCAATAAACAGTAACAATTATCAGGGCTTCCAGGAACAGTTGAGCAAGATGTGTACTGCACAAATGCACCACGCCTACGACATTCACACTGTGGACCTTGTACAGGAGTACATTTGCTGTACAAATTTCTGGCAGATGACAGTAAAGTCTTGGTCCAACAAAGCTGTTATAATCTAATTTTCTGATAGATGGAAGAAAGTGTCGGAGGAAGGGGTGACTTCTATTTATATGAAGTTACCAGGTATGTTACTGGCAGCCCTGCCTGTTATTAATCCTGTCTTCCAACTAGGAATCTATGTCTTTTCTGCTTCCAGAAACTCTAGTTCTTGAGTGAGTGCCAGCCCTGGTGGCTCAAAGATGCTGGCAAGGATGGGACTAGCCCTGGGGATGGGTCTGCCAGAACCAGAACCCAGAAGAGGCCCCTTGTGTTGAACATCTCAAGTGAACCAAGTCTCTTTCTTGCCTTCTCTCTTCTACAGGTGAACATGGTGGTCTTAGGCAAGTACCTGGGCATCCCTAAGCCCTTCGGGCCCATCATCAATGGCCGCTGCTGCCTAGAGGAGAAGGTGCGGTCCCTTTTGGAGCCTCTGGGCCTCCACTGTATCTTCATCGATGACTTCTTGTCCTACCATGAGCTGCTTGGAGAGATCCACTGTGGCACCAATGTGCACCGGAAGCCCTTTCCCTTCAAGTGGTGGCACATGGTGCTCTGAGCCTACTCCCCATCTGCCATCCTCTCTGCCTACCTGCCAGGGAACCCCGCCAGGGTGAGGAAACTTTGCCTGGCCTCCATCCTTTTGGGGGAGCCTTGGGTGCTTCCCCCGAGTGCCTGCAGATGTGCTGGTCACGGTGGGTACCAGGACACACGGATGCTGCCCATCCTCGCCTCGAGAGTGGCCTACCCAGCTCGAGAAGGACCGCCTTTGTTCTTCCCTCTCCTCTTTCCCATCCACAACTCCCAGAGGTTCTGGAAAAGATCCAAAGCCTTAGCATGTTCAAGGAAGGCTGTGCGCGGCTTCGACAGGTGCCCCACTTTGAATAGCCGCTCCCCTGTTCTGACATTCCCTTTGTGGTTGCACCAGGAATGGGACCACAGGGCCTGGGGTTGGATGTGAGGGCCCTGGGTCTAGGCCACCGGTGGCTCTTATAAGACCAGGAAGAAGGATCTGAGGCACCCTCTTGCCTTTATCAACTGTCTTCTCCTGCCTGGGACCCCCAGGCGGTGACCCCCTAGCATCATATTTACATAGACAAATAAGGACAGAAAACCTCAGCGTCTGGAGGCCTGTTTTAAAAAGAAAAAGCAACAACCCCCTTTAATACCCAACTCCAGCCTCAGAAGAGTGCTTGTGACCTGTTTGGAAAGCCTTTAATTAGGAATGCTGGCTGCTTCCGGCTCAAAAATGCTGAGAGGCCAAAGTGAGGCCTGAGGCAGGCGCACAGAGGAAGGCGGGGCAGGAGGAAAGGAGGCCAGGAGGCCAGGAGGCCAGGATGGCAGAGGAGGCTGAGACAGGAGGATAAGCCAGGGCCTGGCTTCTGCGCCCTAGGGCTCCCAGGCTTTGGATTTAGGACTGATTGTGAAGGGGTCTGGTCGTTCCAGATGCAGAAAGGGGTGGGGCCCAGATGTTAGAAGAGGGTGGGGGGAGCCATTTAGGTTATCTCTGAAGGTGGAGTTTAATTTCCTTTAATAGTCTTTAATTATTCCCCTTCGTTCTGCAGGCAGTGGGAGGTGAGGCTCGCCCAGTCTCTCTCAGCAGCCCAGAGACCCTGCCTGTATTTGGGGTTTCACCTGTGAGTAAAAGCCCGAGGCAGGCCTGTGTCCCCTCCCATGGAAGGGAAGGCTGAGCTGCCACTGGGAGTTAATAGCCTGGCCCCAGGTGAGGTCACCGAGATGTGTACAGGCAGGCTGCCCCAGACAAGCATGGGCAGGAGGGAACTAGCCTGCCCTCCTCGGGGGCTCACAGCCCCCAGGCCCCCTGCCTTCTGGGTTTTCTCACTGGCCCGAGGTGAGACACAGGCTGAGCCAGCTGCCCTTAAACTCTTTTAACCCTGAGCGATCAGAGGCTACCATGGAGACCCCACGTATGAAAAAGGAACTGCTCTGGTTTAAGGGGTGCGGGCCTTGTACCTGGATCCTCCCCTTCCAGAAGGCTCTGTGGAACCCCATTTGCAAATCCCTGGTCTAACCTGTGCACTTTCTGCTCATAATCACCATGCAGCCTAGACTGAGCCAAGAGAAGGAAGCTCTTCAGAGGCCAGAGGGGTGCAGCCAGGGTTGGGATTCCCCAGGGACCCTGCTGCGGGGGTCAGGGGAGAGGAGTGGGCATTGCAGAGATGGGGAGGGTGGGGAGCAAGCCTTCTAGAGCGGCACTGAGCGCAGGAAGCTCTGGAATTGCTGCTGGGCTGTTGAGGGGCAAGCCCTGATGTTCCCACAGAGAATGTTCCGGGTGACCGGTCACCTCCTTTCGGATTAATTAAAATGTCAACATGCCTTTCTTCAAGTGGCTGCCTCCTTAGCTTCTGTTTGTTGGGCTGTGGGGAGGAAGGGAGGAAAGGGCAGGGTGGGGGCCGTCTTCTCTTCCACCCACCATGCTCCCAGCTGCTTGGCTTACGTTCCACTGGCCATGGGCAGCTCCTACCCAGCCGAGAGAGCCCCCAGAGCCTGTGCCGGGCAGGCAGGCTGACGCGGCAGGGTGGCTGGCACAGGCCCATTGCCATGAGGCTGCCTGCCCTGCTGAGATGGCTATCAGGGGAGGGTGGGACCTACCTCTTCCTCTCGCTCCCTTCCCTGGACTATCTTTTCCATCTCTCAGAGGGCAGGCCGGCTGGGCCCTACTGGCAGAGAGGGAGATTTCCCAGCAGGACTGGTACCCAGGGCCACAGGCCACTATAACACCTTTTCATTTCTGCCTCTGTAGCTACTAAGTTACCCAGCCTTGGTGGTCTGAAAACATCACCCCCCTCATCCTACATACTTGGTGCGGCCTCAGATCGCTCCCTTTGACACTCACTCACCCATTCACTCACTTTATTTTAGCTTTTGTTGTGGACTAATTGGCAAAGAGTTGCTGCCCATCAGTCATTGACACTTTAGTCTGAATGAACCTCAGATCTCTTTCTAAAAGCTGGCATGTATTAACTGGGGAGAGGTGAAGGCATAAGTCTACTTCCAAAGAAAATTACAGAATTCTGAGGGGGAGGCTGGTTTAGTTCCCAGAGGGAAGCCCCCACTTTCTGCATCTGTTTCCCAACTGTGCCCGCCTGGGGTTTCCTCCTGAGCTCTGACTCTGACCCACAGCTGAGTCAGCCACTGAGCCATTTTACAGCCAAGAAAGTGAAGCTGTCACTGGACCCAGTAGCTCAGCAGCTGTCCTTAAGATTATCCTTACTTAGAGTCTTGCTGTGATCCTCGAGTTGGTGCAAACACACCAGCCGGGGACTCTGGGGAGCAGGTCCTCGTGGCCACCCTGCCTCAGGCTTTCATCATCACCAGGGAGAAGGGAGGAAACCTCTATTCAGCACCTTTTGAACCTTGCTGGGCAGGGTGTACCCCACTATTATCTCTGCCAGGGCTGGTGATTAGCCACATTTCCTACAGATGAGGAAACCAAGGCTTCGAGAGAGGGAACAAAACTCCCCAAGGCCACACACCAATGCCTGGTGGAGCCTGGATCCGAACCCGAGACTCCTCTTCCCAGAGCCCTCGCTTCTGCTGTTTCAAGCTGCCGAATGCCCCTTCTGACCTCAGTTTCCCCACCTGACCAGTGAGCCTACCTTCTGAACATTCTAAGCCCCTCCTGGCCAGAGAGGGTTTTCACCTTCATCACTTACTTTTTTCCAGAGGCTTTGAACCTCTAACAATAACAACAAAAACAATGACCCTCATAATAAAATTATGCTGAGCTCCATGCTAGAGCTCTACCCACACTGTCCCATTAAGTCTTACAACAACCACTTTTCAGATGCCAAAGTTGAGGCAAAGAGCAACGAAGGGACTTGCCCCAATCACCCGGTCAGGATGTGGTTGAAGCAGGGCTGAAATCCAGCCCTGCCTCTAAAACCCATGCTCTTAAAATAAAAGGCTGGTGTTACTCAAAGAGCATCAAAATGCTTTAGGGGTGCTTGTAAAAACAATCCAGCTGCCAGGCAGCTTATTAAATTGGAGATTGGGCCTGGGAATCTGCATTTTCATCCATTCCCCCAGCTAGGTAGAGAAGCTCCCCATCTCTGAAAATGCAGGAAATGCGGGTAAAGAGGATGAGTGCTGAAAGTGAGGAAGGTCCCCAGATCAATACCCCACATCTCTGCACCCCTCCAAGGCCCTGGTGCCCTGGCCATGTAGGTACCTGTAGGGAACCTACTTGCTCCCCAGTAAAGTGAGAAATTAACTCCCTCTGTGCCTGAGGCAGGAGTAACAGGTTCATACGCAAATACTGGGTTTCTTCCAGCCAATCCTGAGCTCTTGGCTCTGGAAAGGGGCTGGGCTTCCGGGATTAGAGCCAATGAGCTATCATCTTGGGCTGGAAGGGCAGGGCCAGGGGCTTTTAAACCACAGGCCAAGGGGTTTTGTGGCCCAAGCCCAGCCTAAGGCCAACATGTCTCTACAGAGGATCGTGCGTGTGTCCCTGGAGCATCCCACCAGCGCTGTGTGTGTGGCTGGCGTGGAGACCCTTGTGGACATTTATGGGTAAGAGCCAGAAGCCTGGGGGTTTGCAGGCCCCTGATGCTAACCCCCTTGGGCTCTCCCTATGAGCTATGTGGGGCTTCCTGGCTTGGCTGCCCTCTCCTGAGCATTGGCCTTGGAAGAGCAGCCAGTCACGGAAGCTTGGGTCCTGGCCTTTCTCAGCCAGGCTTCTTAAAGACCCCAGCTAGGGGCTTGAAGTGTGGGAGACTGAACGAGGGTAGAGATGGTTGCAGTGGCAGAGCTCTGATTCAGGGCCCTCAGAGGCTGCTAGTGCTGTGGGATCTTGGGTACTTTCCTCTTTCCAGAGGATCCTGCAGTCTGGGCCGGGGGTCTCCCTGGGCACACAAGAACAGAAAGAAGTGTACCCTCCACCCCCAGCCTATGAGCTCTGAAGACAGAGCATCACTCATTTTTTTAAAAAAATCACTTATACTTAACATAGCACTTACTATGTGCCAAGCACTGTTCTAAGAGCTTGACGAGCCTCTTGAATTTAATCCTTGAATTTTAACTCTCGAATCTGACTTTCACAGCAACCCTGGGAGCTAACTTTATTATTAGCTTCCTTTTGTTTGCCACATGAAGAAACTGAGGCCCAGGGAGGGCAAGCCATTTGCTCAATCACACAGTTACTAAGTGGCAAACCCAGAATTTAAACCCGTTCATGGTCAAGTGTCCTGTGCTTTCAGCTGGCTGCCACTTGAGGAGGAACACCCATCCACTATGCCCCTGCTGTGAGCCATGGCCACAGCCATGTCCTTAAAGCCAGTGCCTGGAGGTCAGGCCCCACCTTATCTCCCTCTCCCAAAAAGAAAAGGAGAGTTTGGGCAGAGTTGCAGGAGCTGGGCTCTGGGAATCACCAGGGAACCAGCTACGTTACCTTTTGAGGAGTCTCTAGGGGTCCCAGCTCCAAGGCTGAGTGGGGGACACAGGTAATCAGGGGACTGGGAGGGGAGAAGGCAGAACCGTGTCACTGTTCCCATCTTGCAGGTCTCCCACCCTCTCCTGAGACCGGGTTTCTCAGCCTCAGCAGTCTTGGCACGGTCATTCCTTGGCGAGGGGACCGTCCTGTGCGCTGTGTCATGCTGAGCAGCATCTCTGGCTTCTGCTCACTAGCTGCTGGTAGCACACCCACTACTCGTGGTAGCCAAAAACATCTCCAGACATTGCCAAATGTGCCCTGGAGGGAAACGTCATCCCCGGCTGAGAACCTGTATTCCGGACTAAGATTTCAAAAATTAGAGTGAACTTAGTCAGAAGTAGAGATGGGGTTGGTTCCGGGGCATTAGACAAAAGTAGGTGAGAATTGGGTCATGGGAGGGAACCAAGTCTGGAGCAGGCCCAGCCAAGCTAGGTAGCGGGAGCTAAAGCCTGGTTGAGGGTGGGTGGGCAGTGAGTGGGAAAGGGATTCATTTGCTCCTGCAGCTGGGGGCAGCCACAGAGGGGGGATGGAGGAGCGGGTACTCATACCAGCTGGTGCCACTGCCTCCTCCAACGCTGCATGCCCATGGGGGTGACTCACTTGCCCTGGCTGCCAAGTGCCCATCGGGCAGATGTGTCTCTAGCTTGACCTGCCCCAGGAAGCCCCGGCCTGGCTCCTCCCCTGCAGAGGATGGAGGACAGATTTGGGTCACGAGAGGTGAAGGCAGTAGTGTCTTGGGATGATGTGGTTAGATGGGCCACTTTGGGGTTCGCAGAGGAGCCTGTAAGTGGGACAGTCACAGAGTGGGGGGTGGGGACTCTGGCACCCTTAAACAAGGGACTCTGGGGTCTCCGATGACCAGACCACCCTGGAGATGCAGGAGAGCTCGTAGTATGTTCACTCACATGTTCATCAAGTGTTTCTTTGCAGTCTAGCGTGTTCCAGACACGGGGACTCAATAGTGAACAAGCAGGCATGGTCCCTGCCCCCTGAGAACCCTGTCCTGCAGTTCTAGCAGGGGCTGGACCACCTCGCAGGGGTGCTGCAGAAATGATTCCTGTCTTGCAAGGGGAGCAGGACCAGATTAACTCTAAAATCCCTTCCAGCTTAGAGATGCTGTGATTTAGCCATCCTGGGCACTCAGACTGTGGGCCAACGAGAGAAAGGGCAGTGGGAGGGGTGGCTCAGCCCTGGCTCTCTGACCTAGCAGCTGTGTGACCTTGAGAAAGCCACTTAACCTCTCGAGTCTCTCTTTCTTCATCTGCAAAATGAAGATAATAATAGTAACAGCAGCAATGATATTTAAAGCCAGCTCCATATCAGTCACTTCCCTAACATGTGAACTAATGCTTACAACTATTCTGTGAAGTGGGTACCATCTTTATCTTCATTTTTGAGATAAGGAAACTGAGGCACAGAGAGGTTAAGTAACTTGCCCCATGTCACACAGCCAGTGAGGAGTGGCAGAGCCAGGAAGCAGCCCAAGCACTTTGGCCTTCATTTCAAAGGGCAATTGGGACAATTGAATGAGACTGTGCATGTGGAATACATAGGCGATGCTTGGTGTGTGAATTATCATCATCGTCATCATTTTAAGGCTCTTTTCTGGCCCCGTAGACAGCCTCAAGCATCCCCAAACCTGCCATCCACCAGGTGGCTGGGGAACAACCTCTGAGCCCTCCTGGGAGAAGAAGGAGATAAGAAAAGAGAAATTAGCACAGGCTGAACAGTCAGGGCAGGCTTCCTGGAGGAAGGGCACCAACCAGAGCTTTGAAGGGTGAGCACAGGCAAGACCTTTAAGACTCCTCTCTATCTGTGGCAGTGAACTAAACTCTGTCCTCCTGCCTTCCGTTGAGTTGGGGGTGGCCCAGACTTGCTTTCCTGAGTGGGGATTCTTAGCGGGGAAGGATAAGGAGGAGTAATACACAGGTGTGCTGAGCCAGGCACTGGGTGTGGATGTGCAGCCAGGGTTGAGAACCACTGCCCTGGGTTGGAAGGGCAACCAGCTAACCCCTTGCTCAGCAGAGGTGGTCTAACAGAATGAGGAGGCTCGGGGCACCTGGGGGCCAGGAACCCTGAGTTTTGCTCCTAGTTCTGTCACCCACTGCTCTGTCACCTTGAGCAACTTTCTGCGCCATCCTAGGCTTCAGTTTCCCTATATGTACCCTGAAGAGGTTGGCATAGCAGAGTCGTTACGGAACCAAACTTGGGTCTGCTCACCCGCCCACAGTAAAGCCAATCTACTGACCCCGGGTTGCGGTGAAGGAAAGTGCCGTGTTTACTGCAGGCGCCAAGCAAGGAGTCCAGACAGCTGGTGCTCAAAAGACCCCAACTCCCCGAAAGCTGTCAGGGAAGTCTTTAAAGACGGGGTGAGGGAAAGCGGTTGTAGGGGGTGTAATCAGCTCGTGGACATCCTTCTGATTGGTTGGTGGTGAGGTCATTGGGAGTCAATTTCATCAACCTTCTGGTTCCAGCCTGTCTGGGGTCTATGTGCTTGTGGGCAGCGTGCAGGTAACTTCTTCCACCTGCTGTGGGTTTCAGGTGCTACAAAACAGCTCTGGAGATACGGCTCAGAATATTATCTACAACCCTTGAGGAGGAATTAAACGTCTTTGACTTTGTTTAATGACTAAACTACTATTATTTTGTCTTGCTTGGCTGTTTTCCTTTCTTTCTGCATTTTCTCCCTTCTCTGATGCAGTGTACTCTGGAACATGGGGAAGCCTAGGAGACTAAAGTTTTTCTACAGACAGGAGGCAGGCAGAGAACATGGTGGGGGTAAGGGGCATCTGTTCTGGAAAGGCCCCACAGGGTTCTGCTCGGTTACAGAGTAGGCTTCAAACTCAGTTCATGGAGACCTCTGAGCCTCCTCCCTGATTAGATAAAGCAGCCGCCCTTCTGTCTCCACCAGATTTTGTTTGGTGTAAGAGCTCTGACTTGCCTGTGCGGAGAGCTGGCCTCTGGAAGGCGGATGCATCTTCAACTCTCTTAAGTATTTGGACTTTGTAAAAAGGGTTTGTGTGGCTGCCATTTTCTGGGGGCATGAAGAACGTAGGATTAAGGAGGGGCAGCGATTGCCTGAACCTGGTTCTATCTGTGAGGCTGGCCGACTCGGGAATCTGGGATCCTCACTGCGCAGGGAGGGGCAGCTGGTACTCCCACCCAGAGCCTAAGCTGCCTGGGCCTTGGTCTCCTCTGCTCCCGCGGGCCAGCATGTTGGGGACCCTAATGCTCATCTTTTCATCCTTTCTGTTTTCAGCATAAAGACCTTTCCCATCAGTTTCCCAGGCCTCAAATGTCTGGCTTTATTTTCCCAGAGGCTGAGGCTCTGAGCACATGAAGGGAGAAGATAGGTTTGTGTTTGGGAAGGGAGTTGGGACACAGCTGGCTGTGAGTCCTGGCTCTGTCACTTACCAGCTGTGTGACTTTGAGCAAGTCACCTGGCATCTCTAAGCCTTGTTTTTTTTATCTGTAAAGTGGGGAAAATAGTACCAACATCATAAGGCTAGGGGAGCTGTCTTCATCACCATTGTCACTATCGTCATCCTCACCATTGAAAGGGTGACAGGAATCTAAAGGGACACCTGACCTGCCTTGATTCCCAGGAGCACGTGGGCTCACAGGGAGTCACGCCCACACTCCCAGGGGTAGGGGTCAGGGTCCAGCATTTCTGAGACAGTCCATCCTTAGCCATAGTCCTCAGACTTCACTGGGCATCAGTATGGTTTAAAATGCAGGTCTTAGAGCTTTGCCCACAGTGCTTATGTTTCTGGAATCTGCATTTCAACAGGTAGGTCTGAGGTTGACCACTGTGAGGTTTGCCCAAGCTTTTCTAGGTTTTAGCACTGCACCCCAGGAAACACCTCTGTCCCTGACAAACCAGAACTGTTGGTCATCCCACCATATTTTCCCCACGTACACCAGCTCCTAGACTGGCTGTGCCACTGAATCAGTTGGGCGCTCAGGCTGGCTGGAAGGGCTTAGTGCTTGGGAGGCTCTTGGACTGTCCTACGTGTGGACAGACTCAGCTGCGGAGAGCCCGAGGCTCTCAACTACATGAGCCCCCAGGGCTGGGCGGGGGTGTGCCTAGAATAGCACTCTGGCAGCTCGGGGTGGCCTGGCTGGAAGAAGAACTTAATCCAGGTGAGACTCTGGCCGCTTCCCCTGTCCTCCAGGAAATGGGGGATCTTGAGCCTTCCATACCTGATGCAGGCTTTCCTAGCAGCCACCCCTTTGATTTTCCCAAGATACAGCCACATGATGGGGCATGATCACTGGACTGGGAGTCTAGGACATGGCCTTTTAGTCTAGTCCCTACTCTTCTGGGCCTCAGTTTCCCCAGCAGTGAAATGAGGGCATGAGCTGAGGTGCCTCCAACTTTCATCCCAACTGTTCACACACGCCCACTTCTTTCACCTTCCATCACCCCATGCTATAGATGTAGACCCTGAGGCAGAGGGAGGCCAAATCACTCCCTTAAGGTCACACAGCTAGCAAGCAATAGGGCTGGGATTTGAACCAGACTGCCCAGCCCCAGAGTCCACAGGCTTAACCATCTTGCCATGGCTCCATTGTGTTACTGCTCACATCAAGAACCATCGCTGGCTCCCTATTACATAGGGGAAAAATGAAAATGAGCTCTTTGTAGCCTGAGTTTACACTTGACCTCCTACGGCTCTGGAGTGGAAGCCCCTCCCCCTCGTCCTTGGCTCAGCTGCTTTCCTCTGGGAAGTCTTCTCCAGACACAACCCACCCTCTCAACCTGCTTCCACCTATCCATTTCCTGCGCCCTAATTTACCTTAATAAACCCTTCCCCTGTCCCGGGCTGGTCGTTTTCCAAGACTCCCCCGTATATTATTGCACTTGAGCCTCACAATTGCCCGTGAGGTTGGCCCGGCAGGTGTCATTATCCCACTTTATAGCGCGAGGTTACTGAGCCCAGGGAGGCCAGGTCATTTACTCAAGGTGACCTGGCTGATGTGTGACACAGCCTGGTCTAGAACCTGACTCCTGACCCTGGTCGTGGCGCCATCGAGCCCCCAGCTTCTTTGGGAGCCTCCTGGGCAGGGGCGCTTCCATCTTCATCAGGGGTCCCCTGGTATCACACAGGGCTTGTGCCAGTGAGGTGCAGGGGAGCTGGACTGAAATACCCGAAGCCAGGGGCTGGGGCCTGGGAACTGGGTGGACTTTAACAACATCAAAGAAGGACCAGCAAAGGTGTTCAGCTTGAGCTTGTGGAGACCTGGGGTCTGAGGAGCAGTTTGGGGTTGAGGGCAGGGTGCTGGGGGCCCTTCATACCCGGCTCCATCTCCATCTCCACGAGTCTCTGTCTTTCTGGTTCTCCATATCTCTTCATGTCTCCTTGTCTCTCTCTGTCTCCATGTCCCCATGCCTCTCTATCCAGGGTCTCCGTGTCCCCTGATGGTCTGGCTCGCACACCCAGGGCACAGCAGGCCAGGGCCCTGGAAATTATAGCTTTGGTAGTAGGGTTGCCAGATAAAATCCAGGATGCCTAGTTAAACCTGAAGTCCAGATAAACAATGAATAATTTTTTGATGTAAGCATGTCTGAAATATTGCGTGGGCTATACCTAAACTCAAACACTTGCTTGTTGTTTATCTGAAATTCATGTCCGACTGCATGTTCTGTATTTTATGAAAGCTGGCGGCCCTGCTTGGGAGGAGACACAGGTGTGCCAGCCCCGCCTGCCTGGTGAGGATCTCCGGCAGGGCCAAGCCCTGGAGTGGGAGCCCCCTGGGGGAGTACAGTTTGAGCTTCATTTATTTCTCTTTTTATAAAGAAGCCATGTCGAGAAGTGTCAGAATCATGCTGGTGGAGGAATGAAGAGGGGGCTTTGAAGGAGGTCTGTTCTCCTCTGGGTAGAGGTGGGAAAGGGAAAAGGCCTGGGAGTGGGGGCTTCATGGTTGACTGTGCCAACCTGAGGAAGCCTCTTGCACATACTGAGCCTCAGTTTCCCCACGTGTAAATGGGAGTAATAAGTCCCTCCTCCTGGAGCCAAGGATTAGATGAGCTGGTGTTTGGAAAGTCTTTAGCCGAACCTGCCACAATAAGGGTGCAGGGGCCAGGGGCCAAGGGTTATGGAGACTGATGGTAGTACTCTTGGGTAAGAATGTGGACTCAGGAGCCAGAAGGCCTGGGTTTGGATCCCTGTCCTGTCACTTATTAGCTCCATGACTTTGCACAAGTTACTTTAACCCCAATTTTCCCATCTGTAAAATGGGAGACAATAACAGTACCTACCTCCTGGAGTTTTTGAGTGGGTTACATGACATAATACACATAAATTCAGATCGGGCTAGCACACGGCAAGGGCTCGGCCAGTGTCGGCTGCTCTTCTCCCCCAGCTGGATGTGTGTACTGCTTCTTCCAGGAAGCCTTCTGGCCCCTCTGGTTTACAGTAGCCTCTCCCTACATGGGATTCCACCGATCCCATGGTCCTGAGCCCCATCTGGCTGGCCTGATTAAAGGCTCTAGGGCAGTGGGTGTATTTGCCACAGCCCGGCAGTGCCTGCGTGCACAATGAGCACCCCCTAGACAGCCAGAGGAAGAAGAGACTGACTTCAGACACCAAGCCTAGCTGGAGCTGCAGGACTGCATTCCGCAGGACAACAATCTTTTTAACTCTACAACTAATGCCTGAAGAACCCACAAGGGAAATTTTAATAAACACAGAACCTTAGAATGTGAGACTGTGTAATGTGTATGGGGTCCAGGCTTGGCTCCCAGGGGCTTGCTGTGAGGATCTGAGAGGCCAAAGGTAGTCAGGAAAGGCTTCTTGGAGGAAGCAAATGTTTGAGCCAGAACTCAAGCATCTGAACAAGGGCCGCCTCCTGGCGCTTCTCACGGCTCCTGTCCTCCCCAGGGCCGTACCCCAGGGCACAGAGATGTTTGAGGTCTACGGGACCCCCGGCGTGGACGTCTACATCTCTCCCCGCACGGGGAAGAAGCGGGAGCGTGCAGACACCAGGCGGTGGCACTTTGATTTGGGGTTCGAGATCATCGTAGTCGTGAACTCTCCCAGCAACGACCTCAATGACAGTCATGTGAGTGGGTCCCCTGGTCTGGGGGTTGGTGGGGAGGCAGTGATCTAGCTTCATAAGGGCCTGGCGCCCTCTCTTTACCCAGAGCGCAGGGTAGCACAGTGGATCAGCGCCTGGCTCTGGTGCCAGCCAGCTCTGTGACTTACAAACACCAACTGTGAGTCCACTGGAGAGTCACATCCCCCCTCTGGGCCTCAGTTTCCCCATCTATAAAATGGGGATAGTCATAGCACCTCCCTCCTAGGAGGTGGTGTGGAGCGGGATGTGAGCCAGGCTTTGCTCCTGCTCTTGCTTCCCAAGACCCCTTGTGATGGGGGAAGTTGTGTCAGGTCTTCGGGTTGGGCCTCAGTTTCCCCATCTGCAGGCTGAGGCTTGATACATGATCTCTCCCTCTCTGAATGAAGGAGAGAAAGCAGAGATGGGGGAGGGGTGCCACTGCCTGGAGAGATACCCCCTCCTCCAGCCGCCTTGTCTTCCCCAACCCACTCTCTTCCTGACCCCGTTCCCTTCTCAGAGGCAGAATGGCTCCCCTTCCTCTTCTCTCTCTGCTCATTCAGCCAGTGAGGGTGAGTTTAACAAGGCCCAGCTGGAAGCCAAGTTCCAGCCCCAGGGCAGGGGACATTTAAAAAGTGGGAGAAATGGGATGGCCCTTGAGCTTGGCACAGGTGACACCCCTTAAAAGGGTGATGGGAACTAGGCCTTGTTGTGTGGGTAACAGGTCCCCACTCCATGTCAGGAATGATGCTTCAAAAAACTGGCCCTTTAAGGAACACCGACTTTGCGCCCTGACTGCCTCCAGCCCTCACAACAGCCCTGAGAGTCAAGGTCTGTCTCATCCTCATGTCACAGGTGGGGCTACCAAGGTTCAGAGTAACTGTCCGGGGCCACATCTGATCAGTGGGAAAACTAGAACTCATCACAGACCTGTCTGACCACTGGGGGCATGTTCCCTCCATCACCCCCACATCATTACCATCCGTGTTTCTGATTTAGCCTACCCAGGGAGCTCTATGAAGCAGATGGGGTAGGACTCCATGAACCCATTTTACAGACAAGGAAACTGACACCAAGAAGGAGCGTGATCAGTGAGAGCCAGGACAGAGGCCCCGGGGCAGAGCAAGGGAACCAGCCAGCCTGTAAGAGGCCCCTCCTGGTGCCCCTCATTGAGCCCAAGGCCATGTGGGCGCCTCCCCACCCTGAGTTCCTTGGCCCCAAGAACCACAGGGATTGAGGAGGGTGGTCAGACTGTCCCCCTACTTCCCTCCCCTCACTTTCGGCCGAGATCCAGTTAATTGTCTGCCTGAGGCAAGCATCATTGCTGGGGCTCAGTAACTGCAGGATTCCGGGGCTCCCAGGAGTGAGAGGTGCGTGGCCTCTATAAGCTCCTGAGCCTTCTGGCTGAGATGAGGACATCAGAGCCAGAGAGCTGAGGGACCCACATCGGGAGGGAATGTCCACATGGAAGGCCGGGGTTCGAAGGGGCTTTGATGCATCCGCCTGGAATTGCTTTATCATCACCCGCATCTTCAGCCTCACCCCTGACAGTTACTGGGTGCCTGCTGCGGGCCAGGCACTGTGCCAGGCATGCCACATGGTTCCTTCTTTCATCCTCACAGCCTGTAATCAGTCCTATGGAACTGTTATTATCCCCACTCTACAGCTGAGGAAATTGAGGCCCAGCAAGAACAGTAACTTTTCTCGGGATGTTTTCGCCCGGTGGGTCCTGAATCCCAGTGCAGGCTATCTGACTCCTGCACTCTGCACTCACTGCCACACCTGCCCCCTAGTAACAATGACTGGGAGTTCTTGGGCCGTTCCTACAGGATCAGTCTTTTACGTGGATTGATTCAGAGCTGCACGACCATCCTCGGAGGTGGAGACCTGCGTGGTCCCCATTTTGCAGATTAGGAAACTGAGGCAGCTCAGAAAGGAGAAGGGCCTTGACCAAGGTCATAGAACCCAGATTTGCCGGGCTCAGTCGAGGCTTATCTGAATCCCACTGTGAAGAGAGAATCGCTAAATCCTGCCCAGTCCAAAGTCCTCATTTTATGACTGGTGAAACTGAGACCCAAAGGGGAGTAGAGGCTCGCTCAAACCCCGCAGTAGTCCTGGGCAGCACTGCAATGCGGGTCTCCTTGGAGTCCCTCACATATAGTTCCCATTTTACAGGTGGGCCAATTGAGGCATGGAAAAATAAATGGCACAGAGGAGGCTAAAGGAGGAGCCGGGTTAGTAAACTCAACCTGAGTGCACAGAGTTTCTTGAGACCTCCTCCTCTCCCTGCCAGATCCCCCGAGACCTGTGTTTTGAGGGTAGAGCTCTTGGCTTCAGCCAGCTTGACCCTGGACCCATCTCTCCACAGGTTCAGATTTCCTACCATTCCAGCCATGAGCCCCTGCCCCTGGCCTACGCAGTGCTCTACCTCACCTGTGTTGGTAAGCTGGGGGCCTCAACCAAGGGACGTGTGCAATTGGTTAAATATAGTGTTAAATATAGAGCAAGGGGTCACAGAGAGAACCAGGACAGAGACCCAGGCTCATGTGATTGTCCAGTGACATTCAATGAACTTGGAGCCCTGCCTCACACCATACTCAAAAATGAATTTCTCTAGTGGTTCCCAGTGGGGAGAGGGAAGGGGGAGAGGCAGTATAGAGGTGGGGGATTAAGAGGTACAAACTATTAGTTATAAAATAAGCTACAAGGATACATAGCCAATATTTTATAATAACTATAAAAGGACTATAACCTTTAAAAATTGTGAATCACTATATTATATACCTATATTATATATATAATCTTGTACATCAACATACTTCAATTCTGAAAATTTTTTAAAGTAAATAAATTTCAGGTGGGTTAAAAATCTCAAAATGAAAGTCAAAATTTTAAAGCTTTTATAAGAGAATATCATTTCAACTTCAGAGTAGTCCAATGTTTTAACAAGGCAAAACAAAAGCACAGGCCACGAGGGGAAGGATTGCTCAATTAAAATTTAAAAAATTTTTTAAATAAAAAATTTCTGTACAACAGAGGACAAGTACAAAGTCAAACTATGGTTGGGAGAAGAAATTTGCAATGCGAATGGCTGATGGGTGTATGTAGATGATGGAGAACGCCAATCAATAAGAAAGGAAAACCAAACAATTAATAGAAATAGGCAAAAAATATGAACTAGCAATTCAGTTCTGAGCCCCAAGGATCAGAACCCAAACGAAAAGAAACTTATTAGTTAATTAATTAAAACTTTTTAAAAAGGAAGATAGTGTCGCCAAGGATATGGATCTGGGAGCTCCTTGCACTGGGGATGGGGGTTTGCATTGGTACAAATACTTGGAGAACACTTAGCAAGAAAGTTGAAAATGACTCATCTGCAGGAAGCATTTTTACCTTTTTTAAATCTTATTTTTTATTGAATGTATAGTTGATTTACAATGTTAGTTTCAGGTGTACAGCAAAGTGATTCAGTTATACATATCCATACATATATATTTTTCTCTTCAGATTCTTTTCCATTATATATCACTACAAGAAACTGAATATATGGGGGAGGGTATAGCTCAACTGGTAGAGTGCTTGTTTAGCATGCACAAGGTCCTGGGTTCAATCCCTAGTACCTCCATTAAAATTAGATAATAATAAAAAGAAATTGAATATTGTTCCCTGTGCTTCACAGTAGGGCCTTGTTGTTTATCTATAGAGTCATGTGTATCTGTTAATTCCAAACTCCTAATTTATCCCTGCCTCCTCTTTCCTCTTTGGTAAGCATAGTTTGTTTTCTGTGTGCAGGAGGCATTTTGAGAAGCAGATCTGGTGAGTTACAGGGAACATACATTTAAAATTCTGATAGCTATTGCCAAATGACTGTTCGAGAAAGACCGTGCCACTTTACACACCCACCAACAGCATATGAGAGTGCCTTGCCAACACTGTACATTATCAACCGTTTCCATTTTTGACAATTTGAGAGGTTGGTATCTCACTGTTGCTTTAATTTGCCTTTCATTAGGATTGAGGTTGGGTACCTCTCTGCGCCACCCCACCCCAGAACACATACACACCCTTGTTCGTTGGAAAATACACGTACAGAAAAAACAAATTTCTTCTGTAGAGCACAAGGAACTATATTCAGTATCTTGTAGTAATCTATAGTGAAAAAAATATGAAAATGAATGTATGTAATTATATATATGACTGAAACATGATGCTGTACACCAGAAATTGACATACTGTAACTGACTATACTTCAATTAAAATTTTTTAATTAAAAAAAAGAAAATACACATACAGAAAGGTGCACAAAGCTTTATGTGTGTGAGTTGTGTGTGTGTATGCATACACACAGTAATGAATAGTTACAAAGCAAACACTCAGGCAACCATCACTCAGGCCAAGAAACAGAACGTGGAACGTGACCAGCGCCCCAGAGTACACCCTGCCGCCAAGCTCCTCTCTGATCTTAACTCCCTCCTTCCCCCAGAGGTAACCACTATCTTGTGATAAGTATTTCACGCTTTTCTTTATGGTTTGATCATCTAAGTATGCACACCCAAATAATCTATTTTTGCCTGTATTTGAATTTTCTATGGATGGAATCATATTCTACACGTCCTTTGGGGCTGGGCTTCTTTTCCCCACGTTATGTTTGTAAGATTCACACCCTGTTACATGGTGGCTGGGTATCATTCATTTCACACGATTAAAAACCATTCCAGATTCTCTCTTTCTCTACTAGGGGCTGGGGGTCTTCTCTCTCCCTCTCCTCCTTGAATGTTTCACTGGTATTGTAAAATCTCTAGGGTTTTAGAAAGGTTTCTAGGGAGAATGGTTAAGAAGCTGGGAAGGGGGCTGGGAAATTGAGAAGAAGCTGAACCCAGATTCACATCCACGACTCTTAGACCCCAAAGTCCAGGCTCACTGCCCCATCCCAAGGAGATGAGTCAGCTTCACACAGACCAAGAATATCCAGCATGACCTGGGCTCAGTACAGGGTGTGCCCCCAGACAGTGACGGCCATAGGGATGCAGAAAAGGGAGAGTTCAGGGAAGGCTTCCTGGAGTGGGCAGCATTTGACCTTTCTCTGACCATGCTTCCTCCTCAAGGCCTCTTTCCCTAGCCCAGGGAGGGAGGTTCCAGATGCTCCTCACCTTTGGGCAGTGTCTTCTTGGAAATGACTTCTATTTGCTTGGCCCCAGGCGGGTCCTGAGACTGAGACTAAAAGCTGGAGGCCATGGGCTTGTGCTGGGCTCCTGGGAACCCTGTCATGACTTATCCTCTGCCCTCCCCTTACAGATATCACCCTGGATTGCGACCTGAACTGTGAAGGCAGGCAGGACAGGAGCTTTGTGGACAAGGTAGTGTATCTCTGCCTGGGACCCGAAAGGGGCGTGGAGTTTGGAGCTGCTTTAGGCTGGGTTAAGAGGGTTGAGGCCACTCAGGTGTCCCCCTGCCTCCCAGCTGATGCTGAGGTCAGGGAGCCAAAGAGGAACCAGGCATAGCTAAGGGGTCTTTCACTGAGAGAAAAATCATCACCAAGAGTTTTCAAGCACACAGGTGCCTAGCCCCAGGCTAGGCCTTCCTTTGCAGGGAAAAATCCTTCTGGGTTTTCAATCTAGATTGGGAATTGGCAAACATTTTCTGTAAGAGCAAGATAGTAAATGTTTCAGGCTTTGACAGCTGTACTGTCTCTGTTGCAATGACTTGATTCTGCCATTTAGGATGAAAGAGCTGTATTCAACACAGAAACAAAGGGATGTGACAGTGTTCCAATAAAGCTTTATTTAGAAAAACAGGCAGTGGTTGGGCCAAGTTTGGCCCACTGGCAGTAGTATGCCGATCCCCTCATCTAGGTGAAAAGGGAAATCTACCAAGTATGAAACTAAGAACTTTGGGCTGAATTGTGGTGGCATTTAATGCATTGGGAGTTCAGAGGAGAAGTGTCAAGATGGGTTTTGTGAGCAAGGAAGACTTTGAAGTCCACCTGAGCTGGGCTGCAAAGCGATGCCAGAGGGAGGGCATTCCAGGTGCGGAAACAGCAGGGGCCAAGGCCCGGAGGGAGGAATGGATCTAGTAATCAGGAAGTTGCCTGTGGAGAAAGGATATTGGCTGGAGGCATAACACAGACAGCCATGAAAGGCAGATGTGTAGCTGGACTTGATGGTGTCGGCAGTAGGGAGTCATTTCCATTTCTTGAGCAGAAGTGAACCTATCCTCAGAGGGTGGGGTGAAGATGAAGAGATGGGGTTCAGAGGCTGGCCACGGGGACACTGGGGAGGGAGGCGCTGGTCTGGTCTGAGCCCCCATCATCAGCTCTGCTTTGCCGTTGGCAGCGGCAGTGGGTCTGGGGGCCTGGTGGGTACGGAGCCATCCTGCTGGTGAACTGTGACAGGGACAATCTGACCTGTGATAACCAGGACAACTGTGACCAGCGTGTGCACTGCCTGCAAGGTGAGGGGGTGACGGGGAGCTTGTGGCCCCGGATTTCCAGGGTCACTGCTCAGCTATCCTGCAGGGATTCTGACCCACATGGGCAGCTCTTGAAGGCAGATCTTGGGGCCAGAGTTTCAGCTCCTAATACACCATGATATTCCTTCAAACCTGCCTCAGGCTGGCAGCTGACCCTCCCCAACACCCCCAGTGCCAGTGGGCACCCGCACACTGAGGCAGAGCTCTGGAAATAAGCTGACTCACCTTTCTCTCCCTCTAGGGCAGTGGAGAATGCTAACATTACTTAAGCACTTACTGTGAGCCAGACCCTTTCCCAGAATTCTCTAACCATCCAAGCCGGAGGGCAGCATCTCCGCAATTCAGAAATGAAGTTGTTGAGGCTCAGAGGTCAGGAGACCCCTGAAGTCACTCAGCCGGTCTCTGGCAGATCCAAGGTTTCCTATTCCAACCCCAATTCTGGCTTCCTCCCCAGGCATCGCAGGCCTGGATGTCAGGGAAGTCCATCCCAAAAGATGTGGGCCAGAGAGGTGCTTCACAGCCAAGATGCCTGCAGTTACTCTGAAAGCAGGCATGATTGTCCCTGGTTTCAGAGACAGGAAGGCTGAAGCCCAGGGAGAGAGGATCTGGCCGCGGGCAGCAGCGAGTGATGCTGGGACTGAGGCTTCGCTCCTCACCTGCTTGCAGCCCAGGTGGCCTTCTTACCCTACATGCATCTCCCGAACACCTGTCGTGTGCCAGGCACCGGGCTGGCCACTCTCCACTTCCTGTTCCTCTGAGCAGATGAGGGAACAGAGGCACAGAGTGGGACGTAGCTCACCACGTCACACACTTATGGACATCTTCGTGGTTTGCTCTTGTTGGTTCTCAGTGTTTCCACAGGATGGGCAGAGCTGGGGCTCAGAGACCCAGGTCCTGGCACCCTGTGCCCTGGGGAGGGCGGCAGGCAGGAGTTGGAGGTGCTGGGGTGTCAGAGGCCCCCTGAGCTCCCGCCCTCTGTCTGGCTCCACAGACCTGGAAGACATGTCCGTCATGGTCCTGCGGACCCAAGGCCCCGCTGCCCTCTTCGATGACCACAAACTCATCCTCCACACCTCCAGCCATGATGCCAAGCGAGCACGGGTCTTCCACGCCTGTGGTGAGTCCTTGCGCATCCTGCCCTGCCAGGGGGGCCTCAGTTTCCCCACCTGGGGCTGGAAGGCTGACTGCTCTTCCCGAGATGCCTTGGTCGGAGGGTCAGAGGAAGCGCAGTCAGACGCGGGGGCTCTGGAGCCGGTCAGCTGGCATCCCCTGCACAGCTGTGCCCAAGGTTGTTTTACTGGATTAATGCATTTTTAAAACATGTTCTAAGCACATTTAGAAATTTTTATTATCAAAACTTTCAAACATACACCAAAGTAGAGAACAGTGTAATGAAAGCCCACCATGCCAACCACTCGGAGTCAACAGTTGTCACTATTTTGTCTTTCCTGCTTCATCAACCCTTTTCTGTTTACTGAAGGGCTTTAAAGGCAGTCCCGACAGGGGAGGGTACAGCTCAGTGGCAGAGCATGTGCTTAGCGTGCATGAGGTCCTGGGTTCCGTCCCTGTACCTCCATTAAAAATAAATAAACAAGACTGGCGTTATTTCTCTCTCAAATATTTGGAAAGATTAACTGACAAAGCTAAAAGAAAATTTTTATAAATAAACAAACATAATTACCTCCTCCCCCAAAATAAAAATAAATGTAACGATAAGAAAAATTAAAAAAAGGAAAAAACCCTGAAATGTTTTATAAATAAGTAAAGAAAGGCAGCCCCAGACACCATGGCTATTTGCCTTGGTGATAATTCAATTTGCGTCTCCCCCCTAAAAAAAACCCAAACTATTGCTTTACATAGTCCCAATGCCATTATCACAAGTACAAGCAAGGATATTAAATACCCCTTAAAATACGAATGTATATGATGTGTAATGCATATCATATAAAGTATGATATGCTCCTTTTAAAATACAGAAGTATGTAAAGTAAAAAATGAAAGTTCTCTATCCACACCCCGAATCTTGACTCTTAAAATGTGCTCACTGTTAACAGTTTGGTCCTTCCTGACTGTTTTCCTATATGCACTAAATGTGCATGGTGTGTGTTTGTGTGTATGCACATATTCTGCTTTCCAAATGGTTTCTTTCATTGAGTTGTATCTCCAACACATCTCTCTGTGTGTTTATTTAGCTCTGCTTCAGTCTCCACCATGGCTGCATGGAATTCCACAGCACGGAGGGGCTGTAACTGACCTGGTCCCCTGAACGCATAGTTTTTGCTGTGATTTGATTTTACAACCATATAGGTGCCTGGAGGGCAGGGACCTTGCTCATGGCTATGTCCTGAGTCCAGAACCATGCCTCATAGGTGCCCAATAGGTGCTCAGTAAATATTTGTTCAACGAGTGAATAAGTAACAGTGAACATCCTTGTACACTTATTTTGTAGGAAAGATACCTAGACTTGGAATTGCTGGTTAGGGGTAAAATTACTTTGTTAATAGCCACCAAGTTGCCCTCCAAAAGATCTGAACACCTATCTTAGAAAGGAATGCCCTCTCTTCCCTGACCCTGCCCTGCTCATGCTGTGACTTAAGCATCTTTCTCTCATTTGCCAGTGGGAGGCAGGAGGCAGGAGTTGTTGTCTGGCTTATGTTTTTGAGAGAGGTTGAACAGACCTTTCTGCATCCCTCATGCACCCCAGGCCTGCTAGGGAGCTACTGCCACCCCTTCTGTCCCCTCCCAGGTCCCGAGGACTCTTGCGAGGCCTACAGGCACGTGCTGGGCCAGGACAAGCTGTCGTATGAGGTGCCCCGCTTCCACGGGGACGAGGAGCGTTTCTTCGTGGAGGGGCTCTCCTTCCCCGATGCTGGCTTTTCGGGGCTCATCTCCTTCCACGTCACCCTGCTGGACTACTCCAATGAGGTAGGGGTGGCCAGGACAGAGAGGGTGAAAAGGTGCCTCCATTCCTGGGATAGACGGGAACTGCAGGCGTGGAAGATCCCAGGCTTCCCGGCCACCTGGCTGCTGCCTGTCTAGAAACTAAGGAGCAAGGCGGGTGGGTACAGCGCAGGGGTAGAGTGCATGCTTAGCATCAGGAGGTCCTGGGTTCAATCCCCAGCACCTCCATTAACTAAAAAAAGAAAGGAAGGAAGGGAAGAAACTAAGGAGCAAGCAGCTTGGGCAAGACCTCGGTGGCCGTTGAATCACCCAGGCTCTGCACCCTGAGGCCAGTGCCCTTTTCCCCGGTCTCCCCCTTGCAGGACTTCTATCAGTCCCCGATCTTCACTGACACCGTGGTGTTTCGCGTGGCACCCTGGATCATGACGCCCAGCACCCTGCCACCCCTGGAGGTGTACGTGTGCCAGTGAGTCTAGGGGGTGCTGGGTGTCCTTCTGACCCTGGCGGCCCCTCTGGCCTGGCTCTGTCCTGAGCCACTCTCCCCCGGCTTGTCCGCAGGGTGAAGAACAACATGGGTTTTGTGGATTCGGTGGCGGAGCTGGCCAGGAGGGCTGGCTGCAAGCTGACCATCTGCCCACAGGCTGAGAACCGCAATGACCGCTGGATCCAGGTACTGCAGCCGCTGGGCGGCACTCACGGGATGCTATCCTGGATGGAGAGGCTGGCCTATCCCAACGCGGGTGCTGCTGGGAATATCCAGGAGGACCAGGGCTGGGATCACCCTCTCCAGGGCCCTGCTCTTTCCGATTCTAGACTAGAGCTCTTTCCCTCTCTCTACAACTATATGGAGAGCCAGCACACTGTTGACATTGGACTCAGCGTCCATTCATGCATGGGATCTGGGCGAGGCACTGGGCGGGACCTGAAGGGGATGGCAGAGGTGGGGTGTGGGGTACATGCTTCCTGCCCTCAACAGCCTGAACCAGTGATTCTCAAAGGAAGGTGATTTTTGTCCCCCCAGGGGACATTTGGCCATATCTGGAAACGTCTTTGGTTGCTACACTGAGGGTGGTGACGCTACCGGCTTCTAGTGGGAAGAGGCCAGGGACACTACTAAACAGTCTACAATGCACAGGACAGCCCCCACGATGCAGAATTATCTGGCCCCAAATGTTAGTCATGCTGAGGCTGAGAAGCCTTGACGTAGTGAATGGGTGTGACAAAAGCCCCCACTCCAACCATTTAAGAAGTAGCAGGGTTCTGGCAAAGTGCCAGCAAGGTCTCGAGGAGGGTGGCATCACCTCTCTCTGGAGGAATGAGGGAAGACTGCCTGGAGGGGGCATCTGAGCTGGACCAGATTTGGCGAATGGATAATGATTTGTGTCATTTATTGAGCACTTGCTACAGGCCATGTGTAGCATCATTTCATCTTCCTGACAATACCTGTTAACACCCCCGTACAGAAGGAGCTCTCAGAGGGGACAAATGTCTAGGGCCACAGAGCTGGTAAGGGCTGTGCTGGAACTCAATGGATGGTGGTTCTGGTAGAGGGCCAGTGTGTGCAAAGGCCCAGAGGTGGGACGCAGGTGAAAGGACGTGTTCTCTTTGGCCAGGGCCAAGTTTCTGTGAAGGGCAAGAGTTGACGTGGGAGACCTCGAATGCCAAATAAGAAGCTTTTATTTCAGCTTGGGGTTCATCCAATGAGGTGATTCAGTGCAGGATTCTGGAGCCAGGCTGGCTGGTTTAAGATCCTGACTATGCCGCTGGTTAGCTGTGTGCCCTTGGACAATTAATTAGACCTCTCTATTCTTCACTGTCCTCATTCGTATTACGGGGTAATCATCGTGCTTCCACATGGGTGTGTCATGAAGACTAATGGAATTAATATTTGTAAAGAGCAGGACCAGGCACAAAATAGTGAGCTTCTTATTGGATATCAACTTCAGCTGTGTGTCCCTCATGTTTGCAGGACGAGATGGAGATGGGCTACATTCAGGCGCCGCACAAGACCTTCCCTGTGGTCTTTGACTCCCCCAGGAATGGGGAACTACAGGACTTCCCTTACAAAAGAATCCTGGTGAGTGGTCCCGGCCACAGCCTAGCCCTGAGGGCTGAGGGACATTACCCTGAAGGCCAGACTGGGAACTGTGTTCTTTAGGGACAGGAATAGGGTTGCCAGGTAAAATACAGGAGATGCTCAGTTCAATTTGAATTTCAGCTAAGCAATGAGTAACTTTTTAGGATAAGTATATCCCATACAATGTATGGGATATACTTATACTAAAAATATATTTGTTATTTATCTGAAATTGAAATTGAACTGGACATCTCCTGTCTCTTTGTTTACTAAATCTGGCAGCCTTAGCCAGGGGGAGGCGGGACAGTACAGCTGTTAAAAACTTAGGCTTTGGAGTCAGAACAACGTGGCTCTGTCACTCACATGCTGTGTGATCTTGCACGAGTAATTTCCCCTCTCTGAGCCTCAGTTTCCTCATCAGTAATAACGATATGTTAGCCTGGCCTCCCAGGTGCTTGTGAAGCTTCTCCATGCCCACACAGAGGAAGCGGATAGCACAGTTAGCTGGTGTCATCATTGGTAATAAAATAGTGTGTCTTAACAGACCCCCCACCTTGAGGAAAGAGGGGAGAGTCCCTTGATGCCATAGAGATCAGAAGGTCTCTCCAAGCCCTCAGTGGGTCCCAAAGTGAGAGGCGCTCTCCTCCAGCTCTCAGTATTGTCTACATTCCTTCTAAGAGGTGGTCCTGGGGAGTTCTCCCTTTTTCCAGAGTTGAAAACCTGATGCTCCTAGGGCCATCACCAGTCTCTTGGTCCCCAAGAACAGGCCACTCTAGAGCAGCCAGATACCTGCCCTAGAGCTGGACTGGGCAGGAAGACTGTGCAGAGGGTAAGGGGGTGGCTGTGGCCTCAGGCTCCATGTCTAATGGGGAGTGTAGGAGCAACCTCTGCTATTTCCCAGTGACCATGGGGAATCACATCCGGCAGCAGGGCTAGAGGGCTGTGTGTTTCCCAACTTTGGCAGGCATGCATCTCTGAGCGTGCGTGAAATATCAACAGGTTGGAGCCCCATCTTTGACTCAGTATTTCCATCTGAAGAATGGGTGGCTACTCCCACCCCGTCTTTAAGGTGTTTAGAGCCCAGCAAGTTGGTTCAAGCTCTTCCTGGCGAGCCCTCTCCACCCCCCAGCTTGACTCAGTTTCCCCTAACAGGGTCCAGATTTCGGCTACGTGACTCGGGAGCCGCGAGACAACTCTGTGAGTCGCCTGGACTCCTTTGGAAACCTGGAGGTCAGCCCCCCAGTGGTGGCCAACGGGAAGGAGTACCCCCTGGGGAGGATCCTCATTGGGGGCAACCTGCCTGGGTGAGAGAGAAGCAAGGAGAGGTGTTCTTGGGGTGGAGGCTGAGGGGGGCGGGGGTTGATGGTGGCTGGAGGAGGGGCCATTCTACTGCAGGAAGAGAGCCAGAAAAAAGGTAGTCCTGAATGTGGTGGTGGTGGGAGCAGTGGGATGTTCTTCAGACACTGTCCACACTTACCTCGGGGAGTTTGAGAAGACCAGACCCAGACATCGTTCAGTCCAACACTTTCATTTCACAAGTGGGCCCAGAGAAGGTGAGTGACCTGATAAAGGTCACACAGGATGCAAAGTTACGACTAGACTTAGGTCTTCTGATTCAGAAAATAAATAGATGTTGCTATTGATTAATAGTTACAGAAGGAAAAACTTTAAGTCTCAACAGTCCTGGAAGAAATTGCATTTAAATCAATGCTTGTTCATACTATGATGTAAATGACTAATGTCAGCTCTTTTCCTGAGAGCAGAAGGGAAATAGAGGACACAAAAAGTGAAATGGCAGTAGCACAGAGAGCATAACATGATGTCTCTTGTTCAACATGTGACACAGGGGTACTGCTGGAGAAGAAAAGGGGTTATAGTTAATGATTATTTGCTATGGAATAGACCAGGACATAGAGTCAACCAAATTCAGCAAAGCAGTTAGAACAGACTTGTGATCAAATAACAGATGAATCAAGAAGCTTCGGAAGGGACAAACTGCCCACAGACACATGATCTCACAGAAAGGGGAAGTTTGGGTCATGCCATTAGATACTTTTTCAGAAGGCAAAAGAAGGTTGGGGTTTAAATTCATGAACATCAGATGCCAGGGCTGTGAGACAAGATCACCCTCTCTCCCCACTGAGGTGCAGAAAGGTGAAGCTGCAGCAAGAGAGATGTAAGTTAAACTCAAGGAAGAACTGCCCAGCCATTGATTGAATATGGGGGTGAAATAAGTCTCTTGGAGAGTGTGAGGATGGGGTCTCAGGGTAGTTCTGAGGATGTGCCTGGATGGTGAGACCTGGGTGCATCACTGACCTGGTGTGATTGACCTGTCCTGTGTCTGCCTCATCGAGAACTCACCTTGAGTGTAATTTTAAAATATATATATATATATATTTATTGTCTTTTTTGATTACAAAAGCGATGCGTTTTTTGGGCAGATATTGCAGAAATCTTGGACTCTTGTCATTCCATTTCTGCATAGTTTTGTTTTGTTTTAAGTTAAGCAACTTTTTTTTTAACCCCTTGGGCCCCAGGTCAAGGGGTCGCAGGGTCACCCAGGTGGTTCGGGACTTCCTCCACGCACAGAAGGTGCAGCCCCCCGTGGAGCTCTTTGTGGACTGGTTGACTGTGGGCCATGTGGATGAGTTTCTGAGTTTTGTCCCTGCCCCAGATGGGAAGGTAAGGACTTGAGGGACAGCTCTGGGTTGGGGGATGAGCTCCAGGGAGCTGTGCTTAGGCCAGGAAGCTCAGCCAAGTCTTCTTTCTCCACACAGGGCTTCCGGATGCTCCTGGCCAGCCCTAGCGCCTGCTTCAAGCTCTTCCAGGAAAAGCAGAAGTGGGGCCACGGCAGGGCCCTCCTGTTCCAAGGGGTTGCTGGTGGGTACCAGTGCTGTGTCCCTCATCCCAGCTTTCCCGCCCCCTTCACCTAGATCAGTGCACATCGTGGCTTGAGAAAGGAATGGCACATTTTAAGGCAGGGCTGTCCCCCCAGGTTTGAGATCCCTTGCTCCACCAGCCATAGCCATCCCGGACTGGGGCAGAGCTGGCAGGGAGCGCCTTGATGACTGATGGGCTTGGGGTGGGCGTGGACAGAGCGGAGACATGGCCAGCTTCGTGGGCATGTGACCAGCTCAGTCAGACTGGGCCCTTCGCTCAGAAGGGCCCAGCACTTGGGGTTTAATGCTTTGCCCCGCTGTCTTGGAAATCTTAATAATTTGGGCTCTGTGAGTGAAATCTGATTGATCCATGGAGCATCTATTGGGGCTTGGAGCCTGGGCTCATGAACAGTCCCACCCTGGACCAAACCTACCACTGAAAGAAAAGCTTCCACAGAATTTAGAAGCTCCTAAATATAACTTCCCATGACCCCTTACTCCCCATCCACAATCATCACCCCGGAGCCCAGCTGTAAAGTGGAAGAGAGAGAATTTTCCCCAACCTCATTTCTCCCATAGGGACCATGAATAGACTCCTTAGAGCCCACACCAAACCTGAAAAATCCTCAAACCCAAATTTCCTGCACCAGGCTAGGGAAAAGCCATCTTCAACTTTCCTGGAAGCACCTGGTTTACAGTGAACAAGGACCAGAAATAAGCTAAGCAGTTTTTGCAATGGCCCAGCTGGGAGAGATGGGGAGGGAATTCACACTGTCGGGCCATGCATCCCCGCCTCGCTGCTTGGGAGAGCTGACCCCCAGGGTAGTGGCCCTGGGGACCCAGCGCACCTCAGTCATCACCTACTGCGTGTGCCGGGTCACAGCTGTGTGGTCCATGCACATTATCCCACTGGATCTCAGGAGAGCCTGTGAGGATTACTGTCTCTCCACTTCATACCCAAGAATGAAAGGCTCACAGAGGGGAAGTCACTGGCCCAGAGGCCTCTGCAAGAATGCAGTGGAGCTGGGACTGGACCTCAGCTGTCTGACTCCAACTGGGATGGGGGGGAGGCCAAGCCTACCCGTGAGCGGGTGGGTCCAGCAAGCCCTCCGCTTTCCCTTGGTCAAGGTTTCAGCCCTTCATGAGCCCTGGGCTTGGGTTGGAATCACAAACATCCCGTTTCCTAGCTGCAAGATCTGTGCCAAGTCTTCCTACCTCTCTGAGCCTCAGTTTCCTCATCTGCGAAGTGGGGGTAATGATGCATACCTTGTGGGGTTGCTGTGAGGCCTAAATAAGGTGCTGAATGGAAAGGACTGAGCTCAGGGCCTTCACGTGGTAAGAGCTTAATAAATGACAGCTGTGAGGATTGTGAGCCATTGGCATTAACCTCCCCTTCCCTGCCCTGCCTGTCCCCACAGGCACCCTCTCAAGCAGGCAGGAGAGCCAGGCCTGAGGGAGCCCCTTTGCCTTGCGGTCACCTCTTGGAGATCAGGGACAGGGGCCGACGGTGTCCATCAGGGCTGGCACTGATGGGCAGGTGGGTGACCCAGCCCCTGCCCCACCCCACCACCAGCCAGAAGAAGAGCGATCATCATCCAGTGCCCTGGGGGCGTGGGGTGAGGGGTGGGGTGTTTGTACATTTCCCATAACAGGCATCACCACTCCAGTGCACCTGAATGAAGGTCTGAAGTTCACAGCGCTGCAGCGACCTGCCCCGGCCGTCCTCACACACCCAGATGTGCACAGGGGCCAAGCGGAAACGGCAGGGAGCTGCTGACTCAGCAAGACCGGAACCTGCGCACTTGGCCTCTGCCTGCCTGCTTCCCAGAGCAGGTGGCCCTCACTGCTCGTGCTATTCCTGCCCGGCCCTTCATGTCTCTCTCTCCTTTACAGGCAACCAGCAGGTCAACACCATCTCCATCAACCAGGTCCTCGCCAACAGAAATCTCATCAGCTACAACAAGTTTGTGCAGGTACAAGGGCCGTGGGCTTTGAGTGGAGGGCGGGTGTGGCTGGGGCCAGGGATATAAATGGAGGTCTGAGGCTCATGGTTCTTGAAAGCTCAGGCTGGAACAGGCCCAGACAGAGGGCCTCTAAACCCTGACTTTGACCCAAGAGAAATGAGGGGGTAAGCCAGGTGCACGTGAGGGGGACAAGCATTCCAGGCAGAGGGAACAGCACAGACAATGACCCTGGGGGCCTGGAGTATTTAAGGATGAGCCAAGAGGCCGATGCTGGGTGAAGGGAGATGGGGTCACACAAGGCCTTGTAAAGTATCACTAGGACTTTGGTTGTGACTCCGCGTGAGATTGGAGGCCACTGGGAGATTTGAGCAGAGGAGGGACCTGATCTGACTTACGCTTTGAAATGATCTCTCTGTTGCTGTGTTGAGCAAATATCACCTATCGCGGTGGGGCGTGGGGGATGGTGACAGCAGGTCCAAGCAGGAAACATGCAGCCCTTCAAGCTGGAGAACTACAGCAAAGTTTATAAGGGAGTATTCCCAAAAGCACAGGGGAGATTTGAGGAAATCAGCAAGGGACTGCGCTGTACCCCTAGGCTGGGAAGAGGGGAGCTGTCACCACCGCTAGTCCCGAAGGAATTAGGGGAGGAAGTTGTTCCTGGAATCTGGAGGGGTCACTGCAGAAAGAGACTGAAAGACGAGAGCTGGGACTTCACAGGCAACCCGCAGTGAAGGAAGGGCGCGGCGACAGGGGGTGGGGTGGGGGACAAAGACCCCAACTGCACTCTCAGCCCCCCACCTCTGGCCAGTGCCCCCATTGGCTGACCCAACTGGAAGCCAGTAGGTATGGGAGCCCCTGATGCCCAAGGGTCAGCCTCCCAGGGCACAGAGGAGAGAAGAAGTGGGGACAGTGGGCCCAGCAGAGCAAACTGCATCCAGCACAGGGCCCTACAAGAAGCAAATGCGAAGATGGGGGTTTAAACACACTAGGGTTGCTTTAGGGACAATGCCTGCAGGAAGGAAAGAGGAAGGGAGCTGGAGGGGGCTGGGAGAGCTGGCCCCGAGGGAAGGACAGGGCCAGAAGCGGGGGTGGATGCATCCTATACTGTCATACAGTCAAAGTCAGGTTTGGCAAAGCTGTGGGGGATGCCGCAAGCCTGTCAACCATCAGAGGGGTCCCGTCTCCCAGAAACAGTCTGCTCTAGTGTCCCCGTAGCGCTCAGCCATGGGCAGTTAGCAGCCGGTGGGAGGTGTGGCTTCAGACGCCAACACAGAAAAGATTTTGAAGCTGGAGCTGGGCAGCAAGGGCTCTTGGTCAATTCCACTCCTGTAGTTGAAGGTCTGCGAGGAGCATTGTCACAGCTGTCACATGAGCAAGAGCAGAAGCAGCACGGAGACCAGTTAGGAAGATGCTGCAGGCAGCCAGGTGGGAGGGGATGCCTCTCCTCCAGGTGGAAGCAGTAGATGTGGTGGGAAGAGGTCAGATCAGGGATATATTTTAGAGGCAGAGCCCATGGGACTTGCTGATGACAGATATAGAGTGACAGGAAAGGAGGCAGCGAGAATGACACCAAGGCTTTTGGCCCGAGCAGCGGCTCCATTTACTGAACTGAAGAACATGGCAGAGGGGCAGGTAGAAATGAAGAATTTGCCTTTGGACCCATCACATCTGATGTGCCTGTCAGAGTGGTGGTTATCCTTACATGTCTGAGCTCAGGAAAGAGGCTGGGCTTTATAAAGCGCTTGGGAGATAGGAGTTTGGGAGCTGTCATTATCTGGTGTTGTAAACCATGAGACTGTAGGGGATCCCCTAAGGAGTGAAGGATCTGGAGAAGAGAGGAGACCAAGGATGGGACACTCTGGAACACTCTCATTTGAGCCCCAGTAGGGGGCTGTGAGGGGTGGGACATGGGGCAGGTATATTTTGATGAAGGGGCACAAAGAGGGTTTGTGTGCAGAGTTGGTCCATGGGTACCTGGACATCCTGCCCATCCTTAACCAGGCATGATCCCCTGGGTCTCCCTGAACACTGGCAACGTCTCCCCAACTCTGCCCTCCTCCTCCCCCAGAGCTGCATTGACTGGAACCGGGAGGTGCTGAAGCGGGAGCTGGGCCTGACCGACTGTGACATCATTGACATCCCCCAGCTCTTCAAGATGGAGAGGAGAAAAGCGCTGGCCTTCTTCCCTGACTTGGTGAGGCTCCCACTTGTGACTTAAGGTTTCATTAAATTAGGCTCCAAGCCTCTGCTGCCCAGAGGACAAGACGTTTGGTCGCTGCCACGTTTGGGATTGCAGTGACTGGTTGGGGAGAATCAGAGGTCCCATGGTGCCCAGCAGAAGGACTAGTTGGCTGTCATGGTCACTACACAATGCTCGTTGGCAAAGGTCTTGCTCAGAGGCCATCAGGGAAGGCCCCTTCTCTCCTCCCACGGATTCTCTTGATATTTCTGGAGTGAACAAAAGATTTCATAAGGCCATGCGTGTAAAGCACATAGCATCCACTGGAAACTCAGATGCCCATTCTGCTCCCTTCTTCCCAGCTCACAGCTATTCATCCATCCCTCACATATTAGGGTACCCTGCGTGAGATACAGAGATGTTTCAAGCAGCTCCCTGCTCCCATGGAGCGTCCAATCAAATCTGGTTGGAGGAAACTCTCTTCACCTCTCCGAGGGCATGCCCCAGCAATCTATTTTGTGTGATAAAGTGATGTGGCAGTTCAGAGTTGAGACAAAGCACATCCGGCCTAAGAGGTAGCACTGGAGATCCAAGAGGGCTTCACGGAAGAAGTGGCCTTTGATCGAGCCCCAGAGGCTTTACTTCTGGTGCCCCTGAAACTTGAACTTGCCTCTGGAACACCTGGACCAGTGGGGGCCCTCCTCAGGGGTTCTGATCCAGCAGGTTTGAGGTAGGGCCTGAGATGCTGCCACCTTTCTAACAAGAAAGCACCCAGGAGGCGCTGATGCTGCTCTCTGAGGACCGCACTTTGAGTAGCACTGCTGTCAGTTGCCCAGCTCACCTCTCCACCCCTCCTTCTCTCCCTCTCCATCCCTTCCCCACCTCCATCCCTCAGAGGAACTAGACTTGCCCATCGTCAGAGTCTTGCAGGGAGCCTGTCCACACCACCATTGCTTCATCCCCCCATTTTTCCTTCTCCTTTCTGGCTGACTTCCTGCCCTCTTCGATTTCCTCACTTGCAAAGCCTCTCATCACGCCCTTTCCTTCCTGCATCTCTAAGGAGGGATGTATGTGCCCCCAGGAGCTTGTGCAGTGGTCCAGGTTCTTGGACTGCAGGAGACAGTGGACTACCCAAGCTGGCTTCAGCCAGTGCAGAAGATTTAATATAAAGATACCATGGAAGCTGAGGGCAGGGCTCTGGGGCATCAAGAGGGCCTGAAACCATCTCTTGTCTCTGGATCTGTGTCATTCATCCCCTCCCCCCATTTTGGCTTCCTTTGCTTCTCTGTCCCTGGGGATGAATATTAATACAGCCACACAGAAGCACAGACACAGACCAGGCAGAGATTGACTCCACTGTCCCACCATGTCAACTTCAAATACCGGAGAAAGAGAACCTGATTGGCCCAGCTTGGGTCTGACGGTCACCCTGGTCCTATCAGCTACAGCCTGGGGGTTTGGGGTTTGTGTAGCACAGACACGGCAGCCCCGACAATCCACCCACAAGGAGGGCAGTCGCCAGAGAAATAAGTTGTCACTGTGAGCTCTGAAGATGCGCCCATGGGAATGCACAGCTGTCTAGGGTTCTTACCAACCCAAGTTCCTCTCCCACTGCCTGAAGGGGCGAGTAGCTACTTGCAAGGCTGCCTAAAGGACAAACCCAGGTCCTGCCAGGGATAGTAAAAGTGTTGGAGTGCGAGTGGATGATGAAGTGCTGCTCCCCGTTCTCTGCAGGTGAACATGCTGGTGCTGGGGAAGCACCTGGGCATCCCCAAGCCCTTCGGGCCCATCATCAACGGCCGCTGCTGCCTGGAGGAGAAGGTGCGCTCCCTGCTGGAGCCGCTGGGCCTCCACTGCACCTTCATCGACGACTTCACCTCGTACCACGTGCTGCACGGGGAGGTGCACTGCGGCACCAATGTGCGCCGGCAGCCCTTCTCCTTCAAGTGGTGGAACATGGTGCCCTGAGCCCATGCCCCATCCCCATCCTCTCCCCCTGGGGAGGAACATCCGCCCGGGTGATGGAGACTGAGACAGGCCCTTGAACCCCAAGGTTCCAGATGGAACCCCCTCTTGGAAGCCTTTTCTCTAGAAGTGTTCACGCCTCACCTGCAACCCATTCGGCTCTCAGACTTGATTCCCTTTGGCCTCCCAAGAAGAAGGACCTCATTTCTTCTGGCCTCTCATGTCGATCAGCATGACCCACGAAAACTCTTCCAAATAGTCCCCCTCCCCACCCCCAAATCCTCCGTTTGGAGCCTAATTCACTTTGGGGTCTAGAAACTTCCATGCATCTCCTCTGCTTTCTTGACCTGTGTGTCCTGATGGAAGAAGAACCCATGGGCCTGCTTTGGTCTGATTGCCTATCACTGTGCAGGGGAACAGCCATAAGGTCGCAGGACAGGAGACACTAGGCCCATAGCCTCACCCACAGGGAAGGAGCAGAGATCCATTTAGGTCAAGGCGGGACCAGCCTTCCGATTCCCAAGCTCCTGACCAGATGTTGACCTCTGCCCTGCCCAGCATTCTCCACAGCTTTCCCGTAGTAGGTGCTTCTAGGTATATATTGAAGCAATGATGGTCCCCCCTTAACCTTAGAAACACCTTGTCATCTGACGTTCAGAAATCTGGCTTGGTTCCAAAACCTCCTGGAATTTCTTGGTGATGAAAGTACCTGGGGAATTCCTGGAGCCTGGGAAAACTGGGTGCGAGGGAGAAAAGTGTCCTTTATAATACATAAGGCGCTTCCGCGGCCTCGGGGCCTCTCTCTGGGGGTGTGAGGGAGCCAGTCGTAGACTTTCTGTTGGCCCCTGGTCAAGATTTCCCTATCCTGCTCTGCTTCAGGAGAGGGGGGCCCCGGCGGGGCAGACCCACCGAGACCGCTCACAACGGGACCACTCTGGGAATGAACTGCTCTGAGCACAGGGGAGTGGGGGAGGGGTGGGTGGTTTTCTCCAGATGTGTGTCAGTTGCATGTGTGTTCTGTATGGGTCCAGCTGTGTCTCCATCACTGACTAATAAACCTACAGAAAAACAAATGGTTTGAGTCTAACTGGGGCCCTGCTTTGGTCTTAAAACATGACACAGGAACAGGGGAGTTTCTTGCAGCTGAAACATTTGCTTGCCTGCCCCCCCCCCAAGAATTTGAGGCTGACAAGCCCTGATTTTGATAAGACTGTGAGGTTGCTCTGTCTTGGTCATGGGAGGAGTTAGGGCTGCCATGGACTGTGGCAATAATATGGATGCAAAAACGCAACCCACGGGTCAAATGCAAGGCTGCTGGGACCCAGGGAGCATGGTGGGGCGGGGGTCTGGGCTGTGGCCGGAAGGTTGCATTGTGAGTGTGGCAATGTGGGAAGCCTGTGTGTGTGTAACACGGGGGAGGGGGGTGCCTGCTGTGTGCCCTTGGCGACATCTTCCTTCCTGCCCACGGGGAGGCCACAGGCACCCCATAAAGGCCAGGTGGGCTGGCTGCAGAGCCCCAGGAAATGGCTCTCTTTGCTTGTCCTTTCCAAGCCCCCGTACTCTCTCTAGAGGTGCAGAATTCAGAAACAACTCAAACTGGTCCCAGGGCTGGGGTGTTTCTAGGTGGTTAGAGAAGGTACTACAGCCTGCCTTCCCCTAATTCACCCTGCTCACCACCGTTTAGAATCTCTGAAACAGACTCCCAGTGCCCCTTACGTGACTGGATTTGGATGGATTAAGCCCACGTCCAACAGATGCTGAGACAAATGTGAAAATCACATATATATATATTTAATTACAACTACATCTTTACTAGACCATCTCTACCTCTAACACCTTCAGATCCTCGGAGATTCAGAGTAATCTTCCATTAACTGCAAGAAAAAGATAAAGGAGAAATTTATTCTTTCTTGAGCTCACAGCTGTGAAGTCCTGTGGTTATACAAACTCTGCATTTGCGTGCAAAACATGAAACACATTTACCTTAATTCTCCGTGCTTAGAAATGGCAGTTAGCTAGCAGGACTTTCCTTCCAAGACACACAGACCGAGAGGTGTTTTACATAACTGAGAAAATCATTTTTGAAAGGGTTTGGGCTGGGGAGCACGGCTTTAGAAGGCAAGGGCGAGTTTCCAAGCAGGCTTTTCTCACCCCTGGATGCTCCCAGACTGGCCATGAGGCTCTGGGTGGAGCCAGCGGAAAGCCTTGGAAACACCTCGCACCTCAAGTTTGCCTCCTGTGCTCCAGGTTGGTGTAGGTGGGCGGCAGCCCAGGAACCTAACCACAAAGCAGAGGAAGCAAAATAAGTCTTCATCTGAGCCACTGAAGACGACATTCACCCGTCCACATGGCAAAGGTCACAGCCAGTGTGTTGGGTTCCTATTGCTGCTGTAACAACCACCACGAACTATGTGGCTTAAAACAATGCAAATTTATTGTCTTATAGTTCTGGAAGTCTAGAAGGCTGTTTCTTCTGATGGCTCTAGAGGAATCTGTTTTCTTGTCTTTTCCAGCATCTAAAGGCATCCCGCATTCCTTGGCTAGTGAACTCTTCCTCCATCTTCAAAGCCAGCAGTGTTGTATCTTTAAATATTTCCCCAACCCTTCTCCCCTCCTCTTCCACTTTTTAGGACCCTTATGGTTAGAGTGAGCCCAGCTGGACAAGCCAGGACCCTCTAGCATTTTGGGGTCAGCTGATCCACAACCTTAAGTCAATCTATAGCTTTGATTCCCCATTGCCCTGAAAGGCAGCATACTCACAGGTTCTGGGGGTTAGGATGTGGACATCTTTGGGGGGACCATTACACTGCCCCATGCCACCCCACCCCCAGCTATGCCCTGCCTTGGCTTTCTGGACCACATATGCCCTCTTTGAAATCCAGCTTGGCCTCTTTTTCTTTCCTTCCTTTCTTCCTTTCTTCTCTCTCTCTTTCTTTCTTTTCTTTCTACAAGCCTTCACCTATCCTTATCTCTGATCAATACCAGAGGTTTTGACAATTGGTTCAATAAATGTTGAAAAGGGTATTCTTTTTTTTTTACTGAAGTATAGTTGATGTACAATGTTGTGTTAGTCTCTGCTGCACAGCATGGTTATACACACACATACACATATGTGTATGTGTTCTTTTTCACTATAGGTCACTGCAAGATATTGAACATAGTTCCCTGTGCTCTACAGTAGGACTTTATTTTATATATAGTAGTTTGTATCCGCTTATCCCAAGCTCCTAGTTTATCCCTCCCCCTCTTTTCTTTTTGGCAACCACAGTTTGTTTTCTATCTCTGTGAGTCTGTTTGTTTTGTAAATAAGTTCATTTGTGTCATTTTTAAAAGATTCCACATATAAGTGATTTCATATATTTGTCTTTCTCCGTCTGACTTCACGTCGTCCGATCATCTCTAGGTCCATCCGTGTTGCAGCAAGTGGCATTATCTCATTCTTCATTTATGGCTGAGCAGTATTCCATTGTATATATGGATGTCACATCGTCTTTATCCAGTCATCTGTTGATGGACATTTAGGTTGCTTCCACGTCTTGGCTATTGTAAGTAGTGTTGCTGTGAACATTGGGGTGCATGTAGTTTTTCAAATTAGTTTTCTCCAGATGATGTGCCAGGAGTGGGATTGCTGGATCATATGGAAACCCTATTTTCAGTTTTTTAAGGAATCTCCATACTATCCTCCACAGTGGCTGCACCAAACTACATTCCCACCAACAGTGTGGAGGATTCCCTTTTCTCCACAGCCTCTCCAGCATTTATCTTTTGTGGACTTTTTAGTGATGGCTATTCTGACTGGTGTGAGGTGATACCTCATTGTGGTTTTGATCTGCATTTCACTAATATTTAGCGATATTGAGCATCTTTTCATGTGCCTGTTGGCCATCTGTCTGTCTTCACTGGAGAAATGTCTGTTTAGGTCTTCTGCACATTTTCCAATTGAGTCATGTCTTTTTTTGTTACTGAACTGTATTCAGCTAGGCCTCCTGACAAGTTTCGCACAGTCAGCAGGAGCAAGGTGCCATCAACGGGCTGCCTCCGGGGCTGGCACTTAGTCCTGGGCCTTCGATGACACTGGGCTGAGACCTGGGATCTCGCCACTGCAGGCTGAGCAGCTCCTAAAAGCACTGGAGGCTGTCTCACCACGCCTGGGGGCAGGGGTGTCCTCCACAGGCCACTGCCTTCCCAGACAGCTGCCTGTGGTGCACTACCTGGTCCCTCCCAGGGCCTGGTTCTCAGGCCTGAAAATCGCCAGGGAGACCAGGATGAGGCCTGAGTTTTTGTGCGGGAACTCCCTCTCCCCTCTCCCCACTCATACTATGGTCCCTCCAACACAGAGGTCAGCCTTGACCCTGAGAAGGTCAGGATGGGGGTCCCAAGGGAGCCTGAAGACTGCTAGGCTGAGCCAGTTGTTTATACCCTAGCAAAAGCCTATTCAACACCCTCTATTAATTCCTCATTCATTCATTCAAAAAATATTCAATGAGCATCTACTCTTCGCCAGGCAAAATCTCTAAACTCAGGCATTTATATCTAAGGAGGTAACAAGTAAAGAAACACAAATAACTAAAAATTTAGATAAGGGCCATAAAATGGAGGAAGCGAGGGCCAGGGAATAAAGGGGACGGGGACCTACTTCAGTAGAATAACTGTCACCTCTCAGAGGACTTGACATTTGGGCTAGGACTGAAGGAGGACACTGAGCTGTGAGCAAGCTGGAGAGTAAGCTTCTGGGCATTGGGAACTGCCGTGCAAAGGCCCGGGGGTAGGGGAGCACTGGTGGCACAGGTAGGATGGTGGGAGGTGGAGTGGAGGCCTGTTTTCCTGTAGCCCTACTACACCCACTATGAAGCATGTTGCCCCCCTCCATTCCCCATCCCCAGGGTCTGACTCGGGAGTGGGCAGGATTGGGTAGAGCCTGCCCTGGGCAAAGCAATAGGGCACAAAGGAAAGGCCACGTGCCTCGGAGTTGGATGACCCAGTGCTGAACGGGCACGTCTAAGCTGTACACTTAACCTCTCTGTG